CCATAACCCTAACCCTAACCCTAACCCTCACGGGCCATCTCCATCAGAGCCGCTTGAACTTCGTTCTCACTATCCGTGTCCAGCGCGGATGTAGCCTCGTCAAGCAGGAGTATGCGCGGGTTGGAGATGATGGCACGGGCAATGGCCACACGCTGCCGTTGGCCACCAGAAAGGGACACGCCGACACCTCCAATGACCGACTGATAACCTTTTGCGAGAGAAGTGATGAAGCCTTCGGCGTGCGCCTTGCGGGCAGCGCTCTTCACGCGTTCGTCGAGCTCCGCCTTGGACATGCTGGCGACCTCCACTTCTGGCAACCCAAAGGCAATGTTCTCATAGATGCTGTAGCCGAACAGTGTCGGCTCCTGACTGACAAGCGAGATCTGCCGTCGGAGGCTGGCGAGATGGTACTGGCTGATGTCCATCCCGTCGATGGTGATGGATCCTTCGATGGCGTTGTAGAACCTTTCAAGCAGACCGACGACACTGGTCTTCCCCGATCCGCTTGGTCCGACAAGCGCAGTGGTTTTGCCAGCCGGCACATGAAGGTCAAAGCCGCGCAGGGCTGCAATGTCAGGTCGAGAAGGGTAGACCAGGTGGACGTTGCGAAACTCTATCTCTCCTTTGATCTGGCTTGCATCTTGACCGCCCTCGGCCGAGACATCGATCGGTGAGACCCGGTCGATGACCTTGAATACCGCAGCCGCTGCGGTGGAGCCGGCCACAAACGCCTGGAAGTTGGGGGCGATGGAGGCGAGAGTAAAAGAGCCAGTGATGACTGCCAGAAGCGTGATCAAGATCCCAGAGAGGTCGATGGAAGAGCCGCTTTGGGCGAAACGATTGCCTTGCCAGAAAGCCAGCCCGTACATAAGGTTCACGATGCCCATCGCCGCGGCCAGAATCAGTCCCAGCATAGCTTTGGATCCGGATGAGGCGGTCGAGGCGAGCATGACCGGCGCTCGATACCGCTGGGTAAGCCTTTGTTGCATGTTGAGTGCTGATACGGTCTTGATGGCGGCGAACGTTTCCTCGGCTACAATGCTCGCTTGCGAGGTAGCGTCGGCGGCGCCGTCGGAGTACTTCTTCATTGGGAGACCAATGGCGCTGCCGACCAGCATGATAGCGAGCAGGCTCGAGGAGAGGATGAGCGCCAACGCCCAATACTGGACAAAGGCCACCACGAACGACGCAATGACCGTAGCTAAAGTGCGAATCGTCAAGCCGACCTTTTCCGAGTTTGCCTCTTGGATAGCGTTCATGTCGGCGGTGATGTGGGAGGTGACCTTGCCGGTTCCGAAGGTGTCGAAGAAGCCCACGTTTTGGCGTAGGAGCGCCGCGAGGTAACGTTCACGGACCTTGCGGGCCAGGCGTCTGCCGGTATGCTGCCACCCCGCGGTCGCAATGAATGTGAGTACCAGCTCTGCGATGGCGAGGTAGATGAGGTAAAGGATCAAGTCGGTACGATTGCCGCCCGGGATGAAGCTAGAGGGCTGGGAGGCCGCATTTCCGGCACCCACTCCCTCGCTGGAAATGTTGCCAAAGAATTGGCCAAAGATAACGATCATGAGAGGAATGGGGATCCCGCTTCCCATGGAGGCGACTATGCTCACGCCGACAATGAGCAGCTCCAGGCGGCTGGCGTAACGGTAGACGGCGAGAAGTCCTTGGGGTTTGGCGGTGTCGTCTTCGGTGAAAGCCTGGGCCTTGACGGTCTGCCTTTGGAAGTCAGTGAGTTCAAGCGTATTGAACTTGTCGCTGTCACCCTCGTCTGCGGGTCCCTTCTCGTCTTTGGAGGAGTCCTGACAGCCTTGCTTGGTGTCATCCTGCCGGCGCCAGCGATGTGAGAGGAGCTTCATGTTGAGAGTCGATCAGATGCTGCTGGGGGGGTGTTGTAGATGCCCTAGCGAGCTACGGTGATGGTTCAACGGGGATGCATATGCGGCTGTTTGCGATGACGAAATGGGCACGCTTGCAAATGGAAGGAGATGGCCGACTCTATAAAAGAGAGTGTGTTGTTCTGTGGCGGCTGCCATTGCAGGAGTTTGTTCGCTCCGCGGACGGGTAGAGGAAGACCCGGCCTCTTGGTCTGCCGCCTGAAGACCGCGAAGACGGTTGGCAGTGCTCCGGCTTGGGACTGCGAGTCGCCAAGATGAGAATGGCTGATGTTGATTTCGCCGTGCCTGGTGAGAATGAGAGTGTGGTGCGGCATGCGAACAGAGTGAGGCCTCGCATCTCGCACCTCGGATCGTGCTCCAGATTGGGATTAGCCCGGCGACAAGGTTGCGAGGTTCATGAAATCTAGATCGACCACTCTCCTTCTCAGCCCTCTTGCCCTCCGTCACGATGCAGCGCCTCGACAGATGTATATATAAAATTATTATGGCGACCACTGGGGATCTCGACTGCTCGGTAAGTTCCACAAACTCAGACGTCGTCATCAACAGTCTTCATTATCGCTGCAAGCCAACGCCAAGTCGACAACGATGAGCAACACAAACGATAACGGTATGTACTAAGTCAGGCTGCCTGCCTCCGCTAAACAATGGCATTGACATTGGCTGACGATCGCGGTGGCATCATCCAGAATACAGCCTCTACGCCTACTCGCCCAACCAGGCACTGCCCATCGTCTTTGCCTGCATCATCGCCGTGTCCCTTGTCGGTCATGTCTGGCAGAACTTGTGAGCAACCTCCTTCTCCCTCCAACGAGCTTGAGATGTTGACCATCATCCAAGCCGCTACGCCTACTGACACATCACCTTCTTCATGTTCTACGGCGGCACCGTCTTCGCGACCGGCTGGGTCGTCCGTACCGTGTCGACGCACTATGCCCAAAGTCTCGGCCTCTACATTGCCCAAATTGTTATGATCCTCGCCGGACCGCCAATCTACGCGGCAGCAGAGTACAACGTCTTGGGTCGGTTGATGCATTATTTGCCCATGCATGCTCTCCTCAATCCATCCCGCGTCTTCGTCTTCTACATCGTCCTTGGCGTAACCGTCGAAACATTAACCGGAATCGGAGCGGGCCAGGCAGTGCCTGCGCAGCCTGGAACCTCACGATACGTCGTGGGAGGCACTTTGATGGCGGTCGCTCTCTTGCTGCAAGCATGTATTGAGATGAGCTTCATCACCATGGTCGCCATCATCCACCGACGCTGCGTCCGGAGTGGGATGCTCACCTCCAACATCCGAACTGTCTGCTACACTCTCTACGGCACCAGCTTCCTGATTCTCGCTCGCTGCATCTTCCGCGCCGTCGAGACCTTCCTGAGCTACGGCCCGCAATGCGAACAATACCACTGCGGCCCAATCGCAAACAACGAGTGGTTCCTCTACGTCTTCGAGGCTGCGCCAATGGTTCTGTATACCTACTGGCTCAATTTCTTCCACCCCGGCCGCTTTTTGCCGATCGAGCACAGGAGGTTCTTGGACCCTGATGGGCAGACCGAGAGGATGGGTCCGGGATGGATTGACGATCGTACAAGGTCGCAGAGGCTTCTCGATCCCTTCGACTTCAAGGGTGCGCGGTCGGGTCGTTCTGAGCAGGCGATGTTTTGGTTGCGCCCGGAGGAGTGGCCGACATGTCAGGATGGGTGTTTTGCGCTGGGCACGGCGACGAACATTGGAAAGAGCGCTCGTCTGGGGAAGCAGAAGAACGAGAAGGCATCTGCAATTCAGAGCGAGCCGGCTTGATTGATATGCTTCCTGTCACTCCGCACTTTCATGACATCCTGCAATCCTGCTACCCCACCGTCTTCCTATTTCAGATTCCGGGCAGTCGGATCGATATCTGACAAGAGGCTGCAGAGCGCGAAGCTGGACACGCCTGAGCCATTGAACACACTGGTGGACCCCTGCGTGTAGCGGAGTGAGTATGGCTGCGCCACAGATGAGCATTGCTGCGCCGCACTGTGAACCAGTAAAGACTTCAAGTGGGCGACGAAAGTCTTTCCCTGCTTGCATCGGCTTCACGGTCCTGCGGAGAGCTGATTCGCACTCAAAGTGAACGCTGTTCACCAATACAGAGCTTGTTTGTTCTATGTAGATTGCGGAATCCAATGCACTAGCCCTCGACATGTCTCCGCGCCCACGATGTCGCAAATTTCCACGTAGAGTCCAAATACGTAGAAGTGGCGTGTACGATATGTTGTCCCCAGTCCCCTATAAACCAGAGTGCCCTCAAATGGTGCAGCGCAACTCCATAGCATGCAAGAATGGCGAGCGCTGGGGGATGCTTACTGACCAGCGCTTCAACATACAGCTCGCCGCACAGAACTGGCCAGCCGAAGACGTGCTCGGCGTCGATGTCGATATCCGCGGGATTTGAAGACAGGAGCGCCAGACATCGTTCGAGATGGCAGACAGCGCTCAGATATATCCCTCCGTAGTCGGTCAGCTGGTGTCGTGTGTCCTTGAGAGTGGAGCGCAGGTGTGCAAGAGCCTCCGTCGTCTCGGTGGGCAAGTCTGTTGGCTTCGCTTGAGACGCTCTCGTCATCATCTTGCATACTCTCGACTCCCACAGTCGATCGGTCTTGAAAGTCCTCATAACAGCACCAATGCCGCATTGCAGACGAAGGAGTGTGCAGATGGCTTGAACGACGTCGCCTGGGGGGGTTGCGGTGGCCGCCATGTCCGGGGCAGAGCTCGCTAGGAACGTGATCGGTAGAATAGTGGAACAGCAAAAAGCAGCAAGCACATTGTCGTCCGTGACGTCGGTCAGGGTAGAGATGTAGCCCTTTAGAGCGCGTGACTTCTTTAGCTCTGCAACGAGCGCCCAGTCTGCCGTTCGGTCCCTCCACGCTCGGAGATGCAGGGCGGACATGCTGAGAAGCGCCTCCATCATGAAGGGGTATTGCAGGGCCTCCTGGACAAAATCGTCCTGCCGGATCTCGACAATCAGCGGGTCGCTGGCGTCGAGTGGTGCTACTTTGCGCATATAGTGCCACAGGAGGCGCAGGTCGTGCTGGTCCAGGCTATGAGCGAGAGTCCTCCGGGTGGCCAGATCGGTGTCGCTCTTGAGGATGGATGCCAGTGCGGACGACGGCCCAGATTCGGGACTGCGGGAACTCGAGAGATTGGAACATGCTCGTGACGAGTCGTCCTCCCCCGCTGTGCCACTGCCGTTGCCATTGCTTCCCGCCGCAAAGGGTGAAGGGTAGACGCAATTATCGTCGCGGCGATTGCATGCGGTACAGCGCGGCCGAATTTCATCGCACTGGTGAGGCGGCCGTACGTCAGTGTTCTGATGCCCGAGGAAGCTCAATTTTGAAGTCGCAACCAACCTAATCCTCTGCTACGAGCGGCGGCCATGCAAAGGAAAGGGCGACAGCAGATTTTCCGAGGCGACGTACCTTGACCTTGCGCCTTTTGCAGCGTAGGCAGCCAGTCCTCGATTTGCTGTGCGCCCGGATGGTGTCTGCTGACATAGTGTAGGGGAGACTTACCTCGTCACCTGGTGTCGGCACACGTACGGTAGGCAGTAATCGGAAAGAACAGAAGAACCTCTTGAGGTATACAGGAGCTCTAGAAAGCTTATTATTAACCCTACCTGGCCGTATCAGGGTCCCTCACTGCAGCTCGATGAGTACATGTAGGCCTCATCAGATCAGTGCTTGATTCTGCCAGTAGACTACCTAAGGTATGATACCGAATCCGACAACATACACGTCTCTATAAGGTACTCGCCCCCACCTCAACTCAGTCAAGCACCATGACCGACAAAACCCCGGCCATCCTCTACGCCCTCACCACCCCACACCCCTCCCAACCCCAGGACCACTTCAACACGTGGTACGACAACGTCCACGCCCCGAGCCGCGCTCGCTGCCCAGGAGTCCACCAAGTCGCGCGCTGGGTCGCTACAGACGACAGCAGACCTGGTTGGCTCGCTACCTACGAGCTCAACGACGCCTCTGCACTCCAAACCGACGCCTACAAGCAAGCACGGCTCAACGACGGCGATGACGAGACCACCATGTTCTCCGACCTCTCCAGGCGGGTGTACAATCTCTTGAGCGACAAGACGTGCACGGAATATGCCACTTACTGCGCATCCGGCAAGCCTCGCGCCATGACCCACGTGGCCGTCCATCCGGACAAGAGCACCGATCTCACAGACGACGAGTTCAACAAGTGGTACGAAGAGGAGCATGTTCCACTACTGTCGAAATGTCCTGGCTGGCTACGAAGTACAAGATGGGTGCTTGTCGATGAGAAGGATCCACGAAATGGTCAATTCAGTGAAACCGCAAGATTTCTGGCGTGTCATGAATGGGAGGATGCAGATGTGGTGTATGGCTCCGACGAGTTCTCGCATGCGGTCACAACACCATGGAGGACGAGAGTCATGTCGAACATTGATCGGCAGACAGAGGAAAGGAGGCTGTTCCAGCTTTGGAGGCAGTTCTTACCAGATGGAACGAGTGTGGCGGCTGAGCAGAAGCAGACCAAAATGCGATCTTGGGGCGACATCAAGGCCGTGCCGACTAGCAGTCAGTGACGCATGTACGATACAACGCTTCTCCGTCTGATTTCCGTTGATATCGCCACCGACATCAATAGCGGCCCAACTTCTCGCCAATCTCCATCAGACGACACCTACACAGCACGAAACAGCTCTCACTCAAGAGCCTTCTGCGTGTTAGACCTCTCGGTATGTGCAATGGTGCTTCGAAGGGGCGCATCCTCCGGCGGTCCATCTCGTTTGCTATCTCCATGGCTTAGTCTACGCTTTTTGTGACTATCTAGCTCGAGCGTTACTGTTCTACTGGCTCTACAAGTACCCTACTCATCTGTAGGAGAAAGCTGAGAAGCGCCTCCCGATGCTACGTTAGCCTTACAAGAAGGCGCTGGGAGTGAGAACCTGCGGCCGTTCGAATGGTCCAGGGCGAAAGAATCACTGCTCTGGCCAGAGCGTAGTCTCCCATTCAGCTCTCGACACCCGGTCTTTCCGTCAGTAAGAAGCGGCGCGCGATCGTGTACACTGGCATTCATTCTTGTGGTGACGTCGTTGTCGACCTGTACTGACGTCCAAGCCGTTGGCCAGATTGGCGAACCGTTACTCCGCTATCACTCCATCCTACAAGAGTCCCAGCCTCCCGAGCAGTCGATCACAGTGAATCCAGATCGCTGAGGTAGGGCAGTGTTCTGATGAGAAATAAACCATAGTGTGTCGATGGATGAGCCGTCGCCTTGATGTCCCAGTTGTCCCTGCGAGTACACTGCAAGCGCATCTCAAGCCATATCTGCCAGGAGGACTGGTGTCTTCGGCCGTCAGTTGCTTGATGTTCACTACGCTTCAAAAGTGGAAACCGGGCCAAATCTCCGAAGAGACGATTGGTGTCTTGCCGACTGGATCCAACGACATGCAATGGAAAGGTCTGTTCTTGTCGAGAACTGCTGATATGCAGTAGCTTCCACTAAATTTTACGTTTTTTGGTGGCTGGGCGGCCGAACCAACCCTTGCAGTTCTCGTGCATTGGAACCCGTTTTGGCCTACCTTGTTGATGCGATGCAAGCTTCGTGATTCAAGCATTTCTGGAAAGGCTCGCCACCACGTGCGACTCGTGCAATGGCTCTACAATTGGCAAGGCGCATTCTGATGCAGATAGGGAATTCGAGGCTCGTGGACCACATCGCGCCGCTTCATATCTCGCCCACCATACCGTGGACCCAAGGAGCCTGGAGCCCGTCGTGCGGTTGCACGGATCGTCTTCCATCTCTCCCGCAATGCTGCTGCATGGCCGGATGAAAACACGGAGAGTGGCTATATATGATGCACGGCCGAGCCTGTTGTCGCCGTCTCTGTAGCTCCACTGAGCAAAGCGACCACGACCAGCCGTCGACCAGGCCCCAACATCGCAATCCTCCCGAGAATACTTCATCGTGTCTACGCTCACTCTGGAAGACTACGTGCGGATGAACGTTACCTGGCTTCCGGATCTGACTCCACTCTACACTGCTCCTAATGGCCAGGTCTTCGTCTGGGCTGGCCCTCTGCTGAACTGCACCCTCCCTCCGTGCCCGGTCGAGCTCAGCGTGTACGGATACCGTGCCAGTCTACCCTTTTCGGGCCTCTTGATCGCCCTCTACGGTCTCTGCGCCATCGCTCAGATATACCTAGGATTGAAGCACAAGAGACGTGGTTTTATGACAACGATGCTCATTGGAATCTTTACTGAGATGCTTGGGTACGGCGGACGTATTATCATGTGGCAGAATCCTTGGAACCAGACTGGCTTTACCATGCAGATTGGTGAGTTGTAATCACAATGAACAAAGCACAGCGCGACTGACATGCACGTAGTTCTTATCACCATCGGGCCTGTCTTCTTCTCCGCGGCAGTATACGTGATGCTCAGCCGGATCATTAAGTACATCTCTCCAAAGGCGTCCCGCTTCCCGGGAAGATACTACTACAACACTTTCATCACCTGCGATCTGGTCGCTCTGGTTCTCCAGGCTGTCGGTGGAGGCTTATCATCAACGTCACACGGCACATCCCAAGCCGGTGTTGATATTGCACTCGCAGGACTGTCGTTCCAAGTCGCCACGCTGGTCCTTTACATCGTCGCCTGTGCCGATTACGCATTTCGGAGTCGACATGTCTGGCGACAATCCCTTACGACCAGATTCAAGGTGTTTGTCGGTTTCCTTGGACTGGCCACCTTGTTCATCTTGGCTCGCTGTTCATATGTAAGTCACGCCCTAATGCCCACACGCAGCACTACTGATACGTTGCAGCGGGTGTATGAGCTGAATGAAGGGTACACTCACTCAAATGCCGGTTTGCGTGATCAGCCTCTGTTCATTGCGCTAGAAGGAGTGTGAGTACCAGATTCTACCAGCGGTCCATAAGATACTGACAGCCCCAGCATGATCATATTGGCAGCGTGGTGCCTCGTCGTAGCTCATGCCGGCAGGGGCCTCATCACAGAGGACAGCTTGGCTGAGAAGCAGGAAACTCCAAGCCCATCCAGCGAAAGCAATGGAGTGTGAGAGGCGTGCATGCACGAAATAGATGGGCCGGGCTGCACCGAAAGACTCGACTTCGGAATACCACGATTCCACTGAGCGACCACGTAGTGCTATACAAATCTTCTAGCCGAATAGAAACATTGCAGTCCGTATACAACCCATCTCCATCTGTCTGTCCATCTGTATGTGCATGTTGCATGGTATTGAGTGATCTTGGTTGATTCGAAGTTGACGCAACGTCGGCCAAAGGATGTTCCGAGCCGCTTCGCCCAGATCTACCAGCCTCCAAGGCAGCGTCAACTCACTTCCACTACGAGCATCGAAGCTCCCCAACCGCCTGCCACAATCTGACACCCGTGTCGCACAAACCGTCATGTCCGAATCACGCCTCTTCCGCTTCCCCAAGCCCGCCTGGCTCAACAGCGCAACCACCCGCACCGCAGGCGTCTACGCGGCCGGCGCATTGGTATGCCTTTCACCCAGCTACAATGCTCGCAAGAGCAGTGGGACTGATATTATATTCTTCTACAGTTCTCCCTAGCCCTCTTCCTCCAAATCGACGCGGCAACCTACTCCCACTCCCCGCTCAACGGCTCCCTCTTCAACGTCACCTTCATCGACTGGATCCCCGGCATTTTCTCCCTCCTCGGCCTGCTCATCATCAACAGCATAGACAAGACTCGTCTCTCCGGCGACGGCTTCTCATACAGCGGGGATGACGGGGTGGCGTGGAAAGCAAGAGTGGTGCTGTTCATGGGCTTTGCGGCGATGGCGGGTGGGCTGGCGGGGGGAGTGACGGTGTGCGTGCTGAAGTATGTGGTCAAGGGAGCGGAGATGCCAGCACTCTGGTTTGGGATTGCTTGTGTTGTTGGGAATGCAGGAGTCATGTTGAGGTGAGTGCCACATACGAGACCAGGAGGCCGAGCATGCGACAAACGAGGAAGGCTTGCTAACACGGCGGTTGACACAGTACGGTCGTGCTTTGGATAAGTCAGAACATGGAGGATGATTATACCTACAACTTGGCGCTGTAGGAGGAGTGGCAGTGTACATGTTTAAATACGGCTTTGGTTCAAGAACATTGCGAAGAACACATTTCACGAACTTTTAGATCTTGGCCATACCATCGTACCAACGAGCGGGTGATGTGTGAATGTTGTATGCATAAGCGATCGTACATCATCTACATCCCTTGCGGGTCATGATCTATCCTTCTAACAATGCAGATGCAATGCCTCCCATGATGATTTCCAAAGCTGTACATCCCAAACGCCAGCGCTAAACATCATATTGTGCCACTGTCTGCGCCTTCCTAAAGCGCAAACACCGCCGCTCCAGCTGCCCCAAGCATCGCTAGATTGAAACCTGCTCCCTTCGTTGCTGCGGGCACAGCGGCGCCAGTACTACTCGCACCACCTCCGAAGCCAGTCTCGATCCTTGCTCCTGCCGATGCAACCGCAACCGAGGTCACCGGGTTCTGCACGTTGGTCGCGCTGGGTACCGCGCGGTTCTGCTCAATCTCCTGAATGTTGTTCTCTGTGCTGTTGAAGTCCGTCTGCGCAAGCGAGATGTGGTTACCCGCCATATCGTATACGACATACGCCGACCTCAAGAATGTGTCGCCGAGTAATGCAGTATTGCCTCCGGAAGGCACAATGCCGAGAATACAGACAGGCTGGTTGTTCTGGATGCCCGCAGTAAGGACAAGCTCATTCATGGGAACCCGAATGGTAGGCTCGGAGAAAGTAAAGTCGATGGTGATATCTTGATCCGCAGCCGAGCAGTCTATGAACGCACCCCCCTGAGTGCTGTCATACTGCGCGCCAACGGCATCGTAGATGTCCTCGCAGATGGAGTTGGGGAGGTACATAAGGCTGGTACCGGAGTCGAACAGAGCGGAGATGGCAATGTTGTTGGCGAACCTGCCAGAGTTCCCGTTTGAGCCCACGGCCGTCATGGCGACAACGAACTCGGCGTAGATATCCGCAGCTCCAGCGTCGATAGGAATGATGGGAATGGTTTGGAGCTCTCCGGTGTACTTGGCGGTGTTAACGCCTCCGAATAGGATGGAACCTTTATTTGCATCCAGGTCGTTCAGCCAGAGACTGTAGGCAGGTGTGTTGATGTAGCCCTTGTTCCTCATGTTGTATGGAATGTTCGGATAGGGTTGGTGTCCATACTGTGTGATGACCTCGTTGATCGGATATCCAATGCCCAAAATTCCCTGCCGCGAGTCGCTGGAATAGCCAATGCCGAAGATCTGGTTGCGCAGTGTGACGCCGTTGAACCGGACGGTGTCGCTCACGTAGTCTCCGCGAGAATTTGAGCCATCAACATACGTGATGTTGAAGTCGGAGTTGACGTAGGAGTAGGACGAACTCGAATTGGCGTTGTACGTCCCAGCGGCGTCGCAGAGGTCACCTCTCCGCTGGCAAAGCTGTGAGTCGGGCGTGTTGACCCAGAGATCACTACTGCCCGTGTCGATGTGCATGCGCAAATCCTGGGGTGGCGATCCAATGGTGATGTCCATGAAATACAGCGTCTCCTCGTTCGCGAGCGGGACCATGACCGTGTTGTCTGAGGATTGTCTCTTGCGCATCCTTCGATCGCGATCTGACTGTAGAGGATTGGGGACATGGCGGCGCTGTATCTCGTGCTCCACCACTCTTGGTTCAATTCCTTCTCTTCGAGGTGCCAGCTTGATGGCGCTGGTCGACAAGGCGTAGGCGCTCGCAAGCGCAGCGATGGTGGTCGTCCTCATGACTAGGTGGTGGTGCAATGGAATGTTAATAGTAAGAAAATGCTAACGATTGAACGAGCGGCGAAGTCAAGCGGTTTTGTTCAGACACCCTGGGCTACTCCATCACGAGCGCGGCTATGACGCGGCGCAGAAGAAGTGCTTAGATGGAGCTGGCGTACGCAAGTCGAGTCGTGGACCCAGAAAGACCCTCTTGCGGCGTGGCGATGGGCGAGACGCCGACACAGCCGCAACCCAGATCTGAAGATGATTCCTGTTGCTGTGGGCTATGAATAGCCCGGTTTGGCCCCAAAGAACAACGAGGAGATGGTGGATGAAGACAAATATGTGTTGGTTATGTCTATGCTACAACCGCATTATCGTGCAAACCTGCATCGTACCTGCCATCCTCTTCCATCGTCCCTCCCCAGCGATTACGCAGTCCCCGGACGTGGCTGGCGAACAAGCTTTCTAGCGGCAGATCTGGCTCCATCTGGCTTCTGCGGACAACCACGACATCATCTCGTGGTGGTGGATCCTCGGGGCGACCTCATCCCTTCTGCAGTCATAGATTGTGAAAGACGTTGCAAAGTACACTCGCGAGACTCGTGCCTTCGAAACTCTTTTCGACCTATCGCCCCGATGCCATCGCAGTGCGACGTCAGCCATGACAAAACTATTCTCGGACCAGTATGTCGGCAGTGTTGCAGATCCGCCGATGCAGCCGAACATATTGTCATTCTGCTGGTCCCCGCCCTGCTTACGTGCATGGCCCATGTCTGCCCACCTGCAATTGCACCCAGGTTGGCTTGACATGCTGAGCACGCCGTCGGATGAGTCCAACAGACAAACAACGCGGTCAGTGCGGAAGGGCATGTTCGCGGGATGTCGGCGGCCCGTTATTATACGGCCTTCGTAGTAGAAACCTTTGATGTTTTCAACCATGTAAGTCCTCACTTCGGCAGCCGCCTCTTCATCGGATGCGCCTCAGTGTTGAACACCAACTCGTCGAGACTGATGACATCCGGCTCGCTGAAGATCAGATAGAAATACTTCAACGTCTCCGCCATCCAGAAGGACTCCATGCTATCCAGCCTAATCTCCTCGCCATTTGCAAGATCCTCTTTCGAGAAGCTGATGTCGCGCAACGCAGCGTTCGCCAAGTCCGTCTTTGTCACGCTAGTGATGGCCGAGAACATCTTCCAAGCCGCTTCCAACAAATACCGCTCCCCCGTGATCCGGTATAGGATGAAGACGCTCTCAATCGCCTCGGGTCGAAGTATGTACCTCCGGTCTGCGAGCTGCACAAATCCTCTGGGCAGCCGATTCAATGCGATCAGCGAGTCTGCATCCGCATTTGAGTCTGGACTTTCTTCTTTCACTGCGTCCTTCCAGGCTGTCTCGTTCCATTCACACTCCAAGCGAGAATCGCAAGGGAGCATACGGAAGACTTCAGGCATGATGCCGAGCGGCATCGCCTCGTAAGTCCAGATGCAGCCGTCTGTGATCTTCTTGCCAATATCGACGTGAGCGGGATTGTCGAACAATTTACCACCCAACGCAAACATGCCGCCCGCAAAGCAGACAAGATGTTGACCCTGGGGATCCAGGATAGGATCCAAGTTCCTGTTCTGCTTGCGAATGTTGCCCGAGATGAGTATATCGGCATTATCGGGCGTCATTGGCCGCCAGAGATTGTACTCAATTGCAGTGGCCATGCTTGAATCGTAGAGCTTCTCATACCTCGCATCGATGCCTCCGAGAAGAGCGTGCATCTTGGGCAAATACTCATAGGTAGAATCAGCCATAGCAGACAAAGAGAAGAGCGAGTCGCTGGCAAAATCGGCAGTTTGTGCGTTGACAGTGACGGGCCACATGCCGGGTAGCAATGTCTTCTCCTGCTGTGCATCCAAGTGGCCCAAGATCCGCTCGACAGCGGTGTACCACTTTGGGTCGCCAGTCAGCATTGACAACCTGGTGAACTCCATCGTCAAGCTGCCAATCTCGGCCACCAGAACATGATGGTCCGCCACCTGCGGCTCGTCCAATGCCTTGCTCCAGAACCATCTCGTGATCGGCATTCGGTTTGGCGTGTCGAATGCCACGATTAGCATGTCGCCAAACTCTTTTGCTATCGTAAGAAGTCTCTCGTCCCCACTGAGATCGTATGCAGACAGCATGCCACCCAAGTGTCGAATCGTCGTCTCAAACACATTGACCTGCTGCAGCGTGCACTTCCTCAGGTCAATCGTCTCGGCCAACTTGACGGCTTCTTCAAACTCATCCTTCATCCCCATGATCCAGAGGTTGTCGAGATTGTCAACCGCATTTGCGGCCCATCCACCAAAACCATCCCTCGCTCCACCTGAGATAGGTGCCAGCTCATCATGACCCCAGGCATGCTCCCGGTAGGCTTTCCAACAGCGTTCGAATGTCTGCTGGACTGCCGCTAGCCTCTCCTTTCGCCAAGCGGCTTCCTCGTCGGTCTCGGGATGAGATGCGAAGTCAAACTGAACCTTTGGCAACTTCTTCGGTTTGGCCGTAGGCAACTGAGTCAGCTTCTTCACCGGATACCGCACAGGTACCTGCTCCCAGCTGAAGTTGGCGTCTGAGAGCTGATTAGAGCCTTTGAACGGGGTTGGGCCAGTCTTCAGTGGTATTTGTGACTTCAGAGGCGTCCGTGAGATGATTGGTTCTCGGTAGTACGTGAAGATGATTATAACACAGATTGCTATACCAGCGTAGAGCGAGTAGCGGCGCAAGGAGAGCATGTTGCTCAACGAGGTTGTCTTCAGACGAGGTACTCAACCTTTTGCGCCACATCAACTAGTGTGGAAGGTGTCTATCGTATCCAGATCCATCATACTCTTCATCAAAGCCAAAGGAGCATCGGTAGGGTGTCGAAAAGATGATCGAGATGCAAGGTTAAGAGATAAGGTTGGAATGCTCCACGAGAGCACGTGACCGTCGCGTTGTCCAAATTGAAACGCGTCTCCGCTGCTGGACTTTGATTTTCGCCGCAGTTCCAACACCAACCCGTCCTCAATATGGCTATAGCAGAGTCCTCCAAGGACGCCGCAAATGGTGTAAAATCACACGCAAATGGCGCGCCGTCAAACTACGAGCTGCCATGGTATGTCACATCACCCAATATCAAAACCCATCTAACCACTCCACAGGGTCGAAAAGTACCGCCCCGTCTTCCTCGACGACATTGTCGGCAACAACGAAACCATCGAGCGGCTCAAGATCATCGCGCGCGACGGCAACATGCCCCACGTCATCATCAGCGGCATGCCCGGCATTGGCAAGACCACTTCCATCCTCTGCCTCGCTCGCCAGCTCCTCGGGGACGCCTACAAGGAAGCCGTCCTCGAGCTGAACGCCAGTGACGAGCGCGGTATCGATGTCGTGCGGAACAGGATCAAGGGATTTGCGCAGAAGAAGGTGACGCTGCCGGCGGGGAGGCAGAAGCTCGTAATCCTGGATGAAGCGGACAGCATGACGTCTGGTGCGCAGCAGGCGCTGAGAAGGACGATGGAGATTTACTCGGGCACGACACGATTCGCGTTTGCGTGCAATCAGAGCAACAAGATCATCGAGCCGCTGCAGTCAAGATGCGCCATACTCAGATATTCACGGTTGACCGATGGGCAGGTAGTGAAGAGACTCTACCAGATCTGTCAGGCGGAGGATGTACAATATAGCGACGATGGAATTGCGGCGCTGGTTTTCAGTGCAGAGGGTGATATGCGACAGGCGATCAACAATCTGCAGAGTACCCATGCGGGCTTCGGCTTCGTTAACGGGGATAATGTGTTTCGGGTCGTCGACAGCCCTCATCCTGTCAAGGTTCAGGCAATGATCAGAAGTTGTCAGGAGCAGAAGATTGACGATGCTTTGGATTCACTGAAGGAGCTGTGGTGAGTGCTTCTGCGTGCAACTTGTTGAACGTGTGCTAATCGAAGTATAGGGATCTGGGCTACTCCTCCCACGACATCATCTCAACCATGTTCAAGGTCACTAAAACCATCCCTGCACTGTCTGAGCACACGAAGCTGGAGTTTGTCCGCGAGATCGGCTTCACCCACATGAGGATACTGGAAGGCGTGCAGACATATTTGCAACTTGCCGGGTGCGTGGCCAAGCTCTGCAAGCTGAACATGAAGCCGCAGTTGCTCGTCGTCCCGAAGTCGTGATGCAATCTTTTTGCCCGTCGGATGCTTTATTGATGGCTTAGCGTGGCGTTGGTGGATATACCTCACAACTGCTGTACAGTGCGGCAAGTGGCAAGGATAGCTCAATGTGTATGAACATATTCAGGATTCCCGACATTCCAGTGAGACGAGGCTCATCGCTCTGGCAGCAGTGCTTTCCGTGGAATGTGGCTACCCCATTGCCCAGCTCCTCTTTGTTTTGCGGTCTGTAATAGACTTGAAATATTCGCTCTCTTCGAAAGGAAGATCGATTGTACAGCGTCGGACAATCATGAAGCTTCGAAGAATGGCCACCGCGCTCACTGCAGCATGTAAGTCGCTTCCATCCAAGCCGCGAAATGCTTGCTGACCTCCTCGCCCAGCACACGCATCCGCCCAGGCCTACTACTCTCAATTCTGCCCCGAGGCTGATATTTGCTACCGCCTCAACATCCCCACTGAAACAGCCTTCACGGGCAAAGGCGACATCTACATCCAGATTAGCAGCCTCGTCACCTACGAATGGGTCGCCCTCGGCCTGGGCCACCAGATGGCTGGCTCCAAGGTCTTCATCATGTACGCCGACGGCATGGGCAACGTTACGGTATCTCCTCGCCTAGGTAGAGGGCACTATGAGCCTCGATACGACTCCGGCGCGGATTTCGAAGTTCTGGACGGCACGGGCGTGGATGGGTACAGGATGACCGCCAACATCCGGTGTGGAGACTGCACCTCGTGGGTAGGCGGCGGGATGAATTTCATGGAGACCTCTGGACTCTGGGTTTATGCTGCGCGTCCGGGCTTGCCTCTCGATTCGTCTGATCCCAACGAGAACTTGAAGGAGCATCGTCAACACGGCGTCTTTGACTTCTCGTATCTGCCCGCGAAAGGTGGACAAAATTTGAATCCGTTCTTGCTCGCTCCTCCAGCGGATGTCCCTCTCGGCATCCAGCGCGGGCTGCCGTCTGTTCCTCTTCACTGGAATCCGAGCGACGCTTTCCCCGTCGCTCACGGCACCATCGCCTCATTCGCGATCCTCGTCCTCTTCCCACTCGGCGCGATCCTGATACGCGTGACCTCCGAGCGTCGACTGGTATGGGTGCATGCCGGTATCCAAATTCTAGCGTACGTCATGCTGTTCGTCGCAATGGGCATGGGCATCCGCATTGCCTCCTCCGGACAATTGTTCCACAACTACCATCCATTTATCGGAATCTTTATGGTCGTGGTAATCTTCTTCCAGGTCTGTGATGGACTGCTGCATCACTCACAGTGGCTGCAGAATAAGAAAAGACGCACTCGGCTTGCTTATGTGCACATCTGGATGGGGAGAGCGCTCATTGTGATCGGCATGATCAACGGGGGATTTGGATTGCAGCTTGCCGGGGTGGCGAGTCCGGCGAAGAAGGCCGGGTATGGTGTTGTCGCTGGAGCATCGTTTGTGAGCATGGTCGTGGCGATATGTTATGGGGAGAGAAAGAGAGCTCTGGCGCTGAAGGCGAAGAGGGAGGAGAAGGAGAATAGGGAGATGAGGTTGCAGACGTCCAGGTTCGAGTAGGGAAGTGAATCTTGGTTTTGCCGAAAGCTCGACTGTAAGGTAGCCATCAAAGTCTTCCAATTTCTGTTATCCACATGCATGAGATATTGGGTTGTCCAGTCTCACTGCTCCGTGAACGCCGCATCGCTCAAACGCAATCAAATTTCCACGATCGAAAAGCATTACTGCTCATCGCCTTGAGCGCTGCCATCCCGCCTGTCGTATGTCAGCATGCCTGAGTCTAATAGTTCGCCTCGTGGGGAAATGGAATACTTACGGCACATATCGCACTCCAGCATTCTCCGCTGCAGCAACATAGTCGTCCGGCAGCTAAAACCTCCTGTCAGCATGCCTTCGTCAATCTCGACTTGCGGACTGAACACTCACGATACCCTCCACCTTCACAGCATAGGTGCCCGCCTTGTTGCCCTCCAGCCGCTGCCACTTGGCCACCCAACTCCCCTCCAGCCCGTTCAACGCCACCAAACCCTCAAAGACGGCACTTGTGCAGTCCAGCACCACGTCCTGATGGCCGCGCATCTCCAGGAAGTCCTCGCAGTTGGGGCAGCCGGCGGTTTGGAATTTGCTGCCGGTCTGGACGAAGGCGCAGACCATGCAGGCCCGGAGTGAGCGCATAGACATGTTTGCGGTGGTACGAGCGCGTTCTGGCGGAAAGTTATAGCAAGGCCTGAAATCTATGATATGAGGCCAATCGTGTTATATCTGCTCGGGAGTTATGTGTAAAGTATGGAAGCAAGGACGATGAAGTCGTTCCTGCCTTGACATGTGAATGCTAAGCCTTCGGGATCTCGGCACTAAATTAGCGTTCCATTATATCGGGTTCTACGTCTCCCAGCGCTCTGGACCTTGATCCTGCGACGCAGCATGTGATACTGGCAACTTCCTTGCGACGACGAGCGTACATCAGCGGACGCCGGCCAGATAGCAACTCGAAAGGATCACTCACTAGGAGCAGGCTCCCCATCAGCGCTGGCGGGCGCCTCTGCGCGCTTCGCTGCAATGCTCTCCTGCCCCAAACTATCGCCCCTTCAGTCCCGATTCCTGGCCTCATTGGCAACACTGGCACTGCTCGGACTGATATATTGGACCATTGGGCACCCTCCACTGGCATACGCGGCGGAGCTAGACTTCGACGGGGCGGGGGAGCCAAGAGGCGGCGAAGACCACAACTGGCATCGGATAACCCAGGAGGCGTTGGAGGAGGATGGAGTCGACCCTGAGGGAGATGAAGGGCACACTACGCCAGTCTTGATTGCGCGGGCACCGGTCGTTTCGTCGACAGGAGGGAATAATATCGCCAACAACGCCAATATCGAGGCTGGCAACACAAGCGTGTGGTTGTTCCCAGTTGAGCAGCTGCAGAGTCGACATGCCGACAGAGGCCCCGGCCTTCCAAGTTACGTTGAAGCTGTTGCACAGACGAACGTTGCGCATGGAGAGCTGCGGAAACGACACGACAGTGAGCAGGACGACACGCAGGACCTTGACGCCCGACAGAATGCTCGCGCGAGGACCATCTACATATCCATGAATACATGCCTTCAGCCCAATTATGTTGGCAGCGGTACACAATCGGCCGCACCGCCGCAGCTCACCCTTTATGTGGCGACTGACGAATCCAACGAGAATCCTGGGCCGCAGGGCAGCCAAGGCAATCAGAGAGCAATACCACTGGATGGCGGTTTTGCCGCCACATCGATATCAGTCGACGACAGTTGGTACATGTCAGTACATGCGCCGTCACTTCCAGACAACTTCACTGGCGTGTGGAACTACGAGCTGGCAGTATCCATTGACGACTATTTTCATTCCGTCTCGAACGATACAGATCCAAATCTGTTTCTACTGGACTCGGACTCTTCCGCTGCACTTTTGGTGACGAACAATCTCACTCAAGCCGACCCATCGCAGCAGTCGTTCAAGGACTGGATGAATCTCACCGCACCGTACGTTGTATTTGCCAGCAACGTCAACGACACACGGACAATGGGGCTGTCAAAGTCATTTTGCGGCTTGAACAAGAACTCGCAAATTGCTGGAGCTCAGGACCAGTCAGATGGCTCTGCGACGAACGTCCAAATGCAGATGACTACTCGTGGTCTCGGAAACAAGCCCAAGGAGCAGTTCTACGTCACAGCTCTGAACGGCTCCAGCACTTATTTTGCTACCCTCGCTCAAGTCGGAAACTCCACCAGCTCTGGCTCTGGTGTCGTTGGAGGTGGTGGCAAGGTCTGGCAGACTACGGTCTTTCCCACGAAGTCGGACGGCAATTGCGCCCTCCTTTACAACCTAGACTTCTGCTCTGAAGTCGCCTACGCCGTACCGAGTACCCCAGACCTTGTCGCCAACTACAGTCGCTTCCAGTCACTCTACGACAATTTCACTCTCAACTACTACCACAATTTCAACTACAGCCTCCAGCAGGTTCCTTGCCACACTACCTCCGATGCGCAATACTCGCTCGCGCGGAACTGCGATGACTGCGCAAAGGCCTACAAAGAATGGCTCTGCGCCGTCTCCATTCCGCGATGCGAGGACTTTTCCAGCGACGCGAAGTGGCTCCAACGCCGCAACATGGGACAACCATTCTTCAACGGCACGGAGCTTCCATCGTCGCTTCTCAACCAGCATTACACGCCCATGAGCAAGGCGCCAACCCTCGAAGGCACAATCGCGTACAGCCAGACCTACATCAGCTCCGTCGCCACTAACTCATCTCGAAATCCGATGATTGACGAGGTCATTCAACCCGGTCCGTACAAGGAGGTCCTTCCGTGCGAAGACCTGTGTTACAGTCTCGTCCAGAGCTGCCCAGCAGCGCTTGGATTCGGATGTCCGTTCCCGGGAAAGGGCTTGGAAGCGAGTTACGGTTCGCGGCATGGCAACGGGAATGGCACGCTGACTTGCAGTTTCTTGGGAGCCTATGTGTATACTGGCGGTGCTTCAAGCGTAGGCGCAGGTGTTGTGAGGCTTGCCGTGGCTGTTGCCGTCGTTGCTGGCATGCTGCTGGAGTCATGAGATATTAGATGATGAGCCGGGCGTGGCGCTTCGGAGTTCAACGCGGCATAGGAAACGTTCATGGGATGGGAGAGCAGGACTTCGACATGACTTGGTCAGTGATCATCTTGTGTACTGAGCTGGCAGAGCACCTGGTTCCAGACAGACCGTCTGCCGTAGGAATGGAAAAGAACATTGAACCTTTCATTGAATACAACGGCAAGACAACCAGCTCACAGAACCCGCAAGCAGTCTCCGCATCCAAGTAAGCTTACTAAAACGACAGGAACGAAGCCGAGAAGACCAACCTGATCTTCCAGACAACTGGATGCCTCCAATTTTAGCCCTCGGTTAAGCTTCCAGTGAGAGGCATTGCCTTGTCTTGCTCAAATCCACGCAACATCTCAGCCGTTCGAACTCTCACTCACCCTTCGCACCACTGCGGCCCCGACGTCCCCAATCTGCTGCATGGTGACAGCGGCCACGTCACTGAAGTCGGTTCACTGCGGGGTTTCTGTATAATGCGAACTACAAGGCCATGTTCTCGCTGTGCTATTCTGGGCCGGAAGATAAAATTGCTTTTCGGGACATTGAAAGAGATCTCCTCGTGTGCCATGGACATGCTCACTCCCGGCAACTGGTACTGCCTGTCGTCTTACCATTCCATGGACTTGCTCACGGATTGCTCATCCACAAGGCTGGACGTTCAAGCCATCTCTCCGTCTGGCCATCCAAACACAAGGCAAGCCTAGCCAATTGTGTCATTCCTCATGTGTGTACAACGCGGGGCCAGAATCAAGACATCGTCTTCGTGGCTTGGTCAGCCATTAGCTGGATATTCGTAGCATTCGGACACGAGGAGGTGTCAGTCAACGAGGCTGTCTTCCTGCTTACTTTCTATTTCCTCTTCGCTTTCTGTTTCAACTTCCTCGGCAGAGCTCACTTACGCATGCGCTCGTAACAGGTTCGTCCCACTGCGGTCAACTGGACGCTTGATTTGGTTCGCGAGCTCATCGATCTGAACACAAGTCGCAGAGAGCTGATACACTGTTCTTCATTGCACAATCACCACCTCAAGCACACAGCAGACATGATCTTACTATACTTGACCGCGGCTTCAGCCTTGTTCGGTTCTGCGTGCTCCCAGAAGACCAGGGTGGAAGGCCAAGTGGGAGCTGAGAACTCGACCACACCCTCGACAAAGGAAGGCGACCATACTATGCACTACGTGACCGTCGGCAAGAATGAGAACAACTACTACGTATGCTTGGTGCGTCGTGTACAAACCTTAGCAGCTGCTGAACAGTCGCTCTAGCCCAACAGTATCGTCGCAAGTCCAGGAGACATCATCTCCTTCCAGTTCTACCCACTCAACCACTCGGTCATCAAAGCAGCTTATGGCTTCCCATGCATACCCTACGAAGACACCGGGTTGCCTGGAAACACCTTCTACTCTGGGTGGATGCCGGTGGCCCAGATACAACCTGATGTGAGCATCCCCATACCAGCTTGCTTTCCATTGCTGACAGACTAAAAGCCTCCTGTCTGGAACCTCACCATCAACGACACAGAACCGGTCTTCTACTACTGCGGCGCACCAGGTAGCTGTATCGACTGGGGCATGGTGGGGGTCATAAACGCAAATGCGTCGACGTCGATCAGCACGCAGATCGCGCTCGCCCGACAGGCAGACTTCCAGCTACTTCCAGGCGAACCCTTTCCGAACGAAGCTCAGCAGGCCTCCATGGCATCACTGGCCGCCACAGCAACGACGGCATCATTGACTGTCACTGCGACTGCAGCGTCAGAAAGTGGGTCGGGACATGCGCATGGCCACGATCAGGAAGACTATGACGACCGAAGCGACAGCTCATCGTCAAGCTTATCGACCGGTGCCATCGCAGGCATAGCCGTGGGGGCCGGCATCGGCGGCATCGCGGACGCGGCGTTGTTTTTCCTCATGTGCCGCACAAGATCGCTCAAGCGACAGCTCGACCAACAACAAGCCACGGCACAGCATCCGCATCACAGTTGGTTCAATAATCAGAGCCGGCATGCGAGCAGTCTGCCGCCGTATCAGGGGATCGACCAGCATGGCAGAGACAGCCTGAAGCCGGAGGGGGTTGGTGGTCTCGGAAGTGAGCGATCTCAGAGTGTGAGTCCGCAGCCTACGCCGTATCAGGTGCAGCAGGGTCAATTCGTGCCGTATCGGCCGATGGAGCAGCGGTATACACAGTGAGTCTTTGCACAGTAGTTGGATTTCACCGAAGAGACCGACAGAGAACTGATGATTCCTCAGAATGACTTCGGCATCCGAGCTGAGTGGCCCGCGAGCACCGCCGGTCGAACTTGATGCGCTTCGAGAACAGACACATACGGGCCTGACATACCGAGACTACCGGTGAAGCTGTAAATCCCAGTGGCCGATGATGACGAGGTCATGACAAGGCGTTCAAGAGCATGAATAGGAGAAGGGTTGTAGATGACTCCTCAGTGTGTATAGTACAACTTCGGTCACTTCGGTCACTTCGGTCACTTCGGATACCACCGCGTAGCGTCACCACACCCTCGGTCTGCTTTCTCCGACAAGAACGGATCGTTCTGCTTGCGCCACCGAGCCTCGTACTCCCGGCGATGTGACCTCGCAGTCTTCAGATGCCAGCTGATCGAGATCGACCGCCACTGTTGACGGCCTTGCTGCCCCGAGCAGTAGAGGACGAAGGTGTAGCGGCGAGTCCGTTCATGCATAGCAAACTCGCACACTGGCCTCATTTGGGCTGTGCAGAGCACTGTCGGTGCACCAGGCTCAAGTTCAAACAGCGTGAGTGCTCACACTCTATCATCTGCTTCCGTTGACTGAACGCATCGAACTTCGGTCGCTACACATCTCAAGTCTCCTCGCTTGCGTCACTGTCCTTCTCAGCCTCCTCTCCAGCTCCAGCATGCTTCTTCGCCTTCTCCCGCATCTTCTTCTTCACCTTCTTCTCTCGATTCCTCTGCGTCCGCTTCTCCCGCTCCGCGACCTCTTTGGCCTCGGCAGCAGCTTTTGCAGCACTAGTCTTCTCCAGAGCAGCAGCCTTCTTCGTGCGAAGTCGGATGCGGTACTTCTTTCCGGGTCGAGTTCGTTTGGTCGACACTCCAGAAGGCAACAGTTTCTGGAAGAGTTCAGGTGCAAAAGACTGGACGTCTTTGGCTTGGTGCGACCGGGGGATGCTTAGAACCTTCCACGAGTACTCGCTTCCTGGGCAATGAGATCGAGATAGGGCGTGGACCTGTTGGCCAGTCATCGCAGCCGCATGGAACTTCTCCTGGTCCACAGGTGATGGCGCGGTGGCGAGATAGTATGTCTGCCGCCTTCCCGAGCCTAGAAAGCCAGGGTGACTGTTGTCCATAGACGGAGAGCGCAACCTAATCCTCTGAGCAGTGGTCTGTTCGGATGTGCTCTTCGCCTGCTTTGGTGCTGAGAATAAACGAAAGTCGAGATCTTCTCCATCAACATCGTCCTCTCCACCATTACCAGTTCCCGTGACCCCATTTGAAGGCATCACAAAGTCAAAGTGCTGCTGGTAGTCCTCCATCGGTGGATCTGGCGAGCTGGGAGGTGAGCCATCCTTGGAGTCCAGGTCTAATCGATTGACAACACGCTCCATTTTTGTAACAGCGACGTTTGTCGGTGGTTGAGACTTGCGAGTCTCCCTGTCTGCTGTTTTCCACGGCTGGGATATATCAATCCATATTGGCGGATGTCGTACAGAGAGGTTGCGGAAATGGAAATGTGGTTGTCAAGACTGGAAATCGTTCGAAGGGATGAACGTCGATATGGACGCGAGACTGCTGGCTGCTGAAGACGGACACCACTAACGGGCGTTAATCTTGGCGTTTTCTAACCGACCAATGGAGGCTTTAGCCAATAAGCTCATGATCCGAAGAGAGGACATCCCAAGCACATGTATGCTCTTGCATCTACCCTGACAAAAACTCCAAGTGCTCATCTTCCGCTCATCTAAGGACACTGCAACCTGAGAGGGAATCAAGAACGAGCCAAGGGTCCTGGATGAAGAATACGACCGTTGCATGTCGTAGGTATTGAACAAGAGCGAGATCGAGGTTCTGGAGAAGACAAGGTTACCCTCTTGGGGAAAGGGAAGACGGGGAAGAGTCGAAGCTCGCTCTTGAATATTGTGTCTGTCGTGGAGTTCAGAAGGACGAGAAAGTCGTCTAGCTGATCATTCAAGATCATTGAAGAGATTTTTGGGAGAGATCGGATGCACGAGCAGTCATGCGAGAGGGTTACCGTACTCGAGTTTGAAGATATAGACGCCGTTGCAGGTATTCGAAAATCATTTGTGGAAAATAGCAGTCTCCACCGCACCACGTTCGTTGCGTCATGAGCTTCATGTCTCATGTTCACCCTTCACACCGTCCATCATTCCTCTCAGCCCTCCTCTACTCGCCACCGCCATCATCACCACCACCACCATCGTCGCCACCACCTCCATCATCGTCATCGAACGACTCCGCAATGAGCGCACCACCCAGCAGACCAGCTCCCAAGCCGAGTGCTGCACCACCTCCAGCTCCCATCCCTCCACCTTGTCTTCTCTGAGGATAACCACCGTATCCACCGCCGTAGCCACCACCATACATTGGCTGGTGACCATATCCCGGCTGACCGTATCCCATCGGAGGAGGATGACCGTAGCCCGGCTGACCATAGCCGCCACCGTAGTGCTGTTGTGGTGGGTATCCGCCACCAGGGTAGCCGCCGTACTGTGGCCTGCTCGACGATGAACTGCCGCCTAGTTTCGACGACAGCTTGCCAAGCAGACCCTTCTTCTGTTCGCGCTGCGGCAGCTGCTGGTCGTAGGATTGATGTGAGCTCTGCCCGTACTGTGGCTGCGCAGGTGCCCCGTAGTGGTTGTCGCTGGCGCCACGACTTGAGCTCATGCGCGCATTCTCCTCTTCCTGCAAGCGTCGCGCATATGCCTCGTCATCGGTGCTAGCAGCTCCTGCCCCGCCGTATTGGTTCTGAGTGAACGGGTTGTTGCTCTTTTCGTGCGTCGCTTGTGAAGTGCTGTGATCGTAGCCTGGAGGCGCGCCCGGTGGTGGTGGATCACCCGGTGGCGCGTAGACGGGCTCGGTGGGCTTCTCCCATGTCGACTGCTTGGTGTAGATGTTGACGTAGAACCACTCGTGGTACTGTTCGTTGTAGACTGCCTTCCAGCCCTCGGGCACCTTGGGCGGTGGAGGACCGGTTGGCGGTGCGAATTCTGACATGCGGCTTGTAGTTGTGTGCGCTCCGGTAGTAGGTCTCAGAAGGTGATGTGGTGATGGGAGGATGTAGGCAGCGGGGGAGTGATATATGGTGGGGTCGGTCGGCAACGTCGTCATTCAAAGCTGCACAGCCCCGTGGCGGCAGAATCAAGCGGCTCGGCACCTGATGCAGATGATGATTCCAGATCTTCACCTGCAACGCTCCCACATGGGCGCAAAGGCATGTGATCAGAGGCGGACTCCTAGACTAGTGAGAGGCATGGCATGAACGCACGAGTGAATACAAATTCAGTTCAGGTGGCTTTGCAAGGTGGCTGATTGAGACGGCTGCTCGGTTTCAGGTTCTGAACGAACACATGCACCAACACGGCTTCTAAAGCTTCCGAAGGCAACCTGGCTGTGTCGAACGATCTGGAAGAATTATAGCTTGGAAGCAGGTCTCCGCAGTACCATACGGCTTGGACTCGCCGTACTCATCTCTGCCTGTCATCTACCATGGAAGAGCCACGGCCGCAGGTGGAACGGGCTCCCTTTCCCGCTGCCTCCAAGACCACTTCCGCCGTCATCAACGATGTTCTCACGACTGTCACTCGAATGTCCTTCTCCGACAAACTCCTACTCACCATCACCCCAGCCTCTGGCAAGCTATCCCACTGGGTCCATGTCCCGCTCGCCACCTCCGCCAACCCACTCGACACCTCCTTCAACGCCCCCTCCAATGCTGGCGGCGCAGACTCCAACGCTCTACTGCCGCGGTCAGACCTCACCGCTACTACCGTATTCGGTGGGACGAAACGGGAGGAGGAAGTGATAGGCCAGACGCTGGCGACGACTCTGGCCAGTGCAATCTTGCACAAGCGACCCAGCGAGGAGCGGTTGTTGGTGCTGGGTCTGGGCCTGCAGGGCGTGATTGAGGGTGAAGAAGGGCGCGAGTGGTTCGAGGAGGTAGTTGGCTTGTGCTTGGAGTGTCTGTGATGAGGGAACCTTTCTACCCTGAACGGAAAGATGATGCAGCGAACAGTACCCGCACCGGAGCAAATGATGCTCCAAAAGCTCTCCAAGCCTGTTGCAGGCCGCATCGCAGACATGGTGTTGCATGCGCTGCTTAGGCTGCCCCGGTCGATGCGGACATCAAGCCATGCGAACATCAGGCCGATTAGGTCCACTATGAGGCTCAAGTCTTCACCGACCAGGCTATGAGTACCGGACGGGCGAGGAGGAAGGCGGCTTTGAGTGCTGGCACCGGTAGGCATACTATTGGTAGGCTTCAGTCAGCCCGGGTTACTGACTGGCAGGACAGCACTCGTCCGCACGGACTTTGGTCCAATGCGCACATACAGCGGTGGTAATGATGATTAAAGCACAGAACACAATGCATTGAACATTCTCCATCTGTACTTGCTCCTTGTTCATCCCAGAAAACGTCTTTCGGCACGACCATGCAAGGAGCAGCCGCACTCTGACGCGACTGGAATTGCTCACGCGCCATTCCGTGATAGACGGATTGCAAACCTCGAAATCATGGACTCTTGCGTACTCTATCCAAAGCTGCCGCATGTTCTTCGGAGGCATGGCTCCTCTGGCGGCCTTCACATGTTTGCTGCTGAGCTTCGCTATTCTCTCTCCAGCGCAGGCGGACGACGACGATGCATACCACTGGCTGGACGACTCCCACAAGTTTATAACGGCAAGTACCTGGAGCACGAGCGGGTGTGGATTCTAACTTACAACGTGGCAGCGTCCGGACATTGAAGCGCCCAGATTCAATGTCACCATTTACGAACGACGGCGAGTCAGTCTTGGGTACTGGTTCGTACCATCCTACGACTTCTTGGATCAGTCATTTCAGAACGGAGGAAGATGGACAGCGCCGCACATCTTTGATGGCAGTGGTGAGCTCATCTGGAGCGGCTCGGTAGGTTGTCACGGACACACCAAGGTGCTGACTGACTGACTACCACCAGTACTTGAGCCGGCAGTACGATGCCTTCGATTTTCGGCTCAGCAACGTCCTTGGTGAGACAATGCTGTCATTTCTGTATCCGCACAACCGCAGCGCAATCCTGCTCGACACAAGCTACAACGTCCGGTATTCAGTCCCAGTGGCAGAAGAGGGCCAGAGCGTTGACATGCACGAGTTCCACATCGTCGAGAATGGTACAAAAGCACTGTTCTTCTACGACCAGCGGAGGAACGTCACGCAGGAGCAGTCGCGGGCGATTGGATGGATGAACGGCAACTGCACAGTCAACGACAATTTGTTCCACGAGCTGGACGTTGCGAATGACTTCCAGCCGACGTTCACCTGGAGCTCCGCAGAACATGTCGGGTTGTATGAGAGTAGTAAAGTGGAGAACTCATTACAAGAGAGGTGCTCGGACGTAAGTTTGAAGGGCCTAGTAGCGAGGAGCATGCACTTACCATCGCCAGTTCTGGGACTTCATACATGTCAACTCCCTGGACAAGTTTCCAGACGGCAGCTACCTCATGTCCAGCCGCCATACCGATACTATCTATAAAATCGCTCCAGATGGCAACATCGTCTGGCGTCTTGGCGGCAGCATGTCGGACTTTCGAGCTGGCTTCAAGTTCGCACGGCAGCACAATGCTCGCATCATATCATCGAACGAGACGCACACGATACTCTCGTTCTTCGACAACGCCACCAAAACACCGATGAGAGCACCTACGTCTGACTCATCTCGCGGTGTAATCGTAGAGTTGCATACTCAAACACAACCCATGACAGCAAAGCTTGTGCAACAATTCCCCCACCCAGATGGGCCGGGCAATTATTGTGTGGCTCGAGCGAATGTACAGGTCCTGCCAAACGGCAATGTCTGGATCTGCTGGGTTGATGGGCTTCTTTCCACCGAGTACACACCGGATGGAACTCTGATCATGAAGACGAGAGTGAAGCAAGACTGGCTGAAATCTTACCGTACCTACAAGTTCTCCTTCGTTGGCAAGCCGACAGAACCTCCGAATGTCCATTCACATGCGATCGGAAGCGATGAAGAGGGCACGACCACGACTCTGGTGCACGTCAGCTGGAATGGCGCTACCGAAGTCACAACCTGGAACCTCTACAAGACAGACGATGTGGGCAATATCGACTCACCCAAGCCTGTCACAGCAGTCCCCAAGATGGGCTTCGAGACCGCTCTCAGCTACAAGGGTTTCGCTTCGTACGTGGTTGCCGAAGCTCTGGATCGTCGCGGCGCCGTGCTCGGCCGCTCGGAAGTGATCAAAACCATTGTCTCGGCCAAGTTGTCTACGGTCACCATTGCGGAAGAATCACAATGGCTGGACAAGATGAACCGCCGGATGGAGACCACCAAGCAAGCAATCTGGCTGATGCATGTGGTTTATGTGGATCCTACAGTCACATTCGCATGCGGGCTGCTCTGTGGCATGTCGCTGCTTGTTGCCTCGAGAGCACTGTGGCGGTCGAAGCGGTCGAGCTTCCTGTCCAGACGGCGGAACGGATCGTTGTATAAACGAGTGTCGCAGGACGATTATTTCGAGAAGCCTTAGCACTTCGGGAAGGCAGGAGGTCGTCGAGCTTCGTTCGGAATTCCGCTGCACATTGTGCTGTCGGCATTGCCGAGCTACATCACGGCGGACTTCTAGTGCAACGCCTGGATGACCGCACGAAGCTAAGAACTTGCTGGACCTGTGTTCACGGGATGTGGTTGCCGGAGGCCCGTAATACGGCTATGACTGGTGTTGTTTGGTCGAACCCGAGTGGAAGCGGGCAGCAACTCTGGATGGGCAGGCCGTCAGTAAGACCCAAAACTGGCAGCAGCAGCATGGCGCTGTGCAAGTTGGGCAACACCGTATGCTGTCGGAGTTTCTGGTACACATCAGAGTCTTTGTCGTCGTTGGTGAGAAGGGAAAGTCGCACTGATGGCTGCACATTCTATGCTCGCGCTCTTTTGCAGACCTGTGCTGGTTGAACAATGCCAACGATCAGTGTCTCATCCAATACTTCCGTTACATGCCCGCCGTCTCCCAATCACGCCCACAAACCTTTCGAGACCGGAAGTAATCAGAAACATGTAAATCCGTCGTTGATCACGTGGCAGTGGAGATACACGGGTTTATGAACACCGCCTGCAGGAGCACATCTGCTCGACCGATGATCAGTACCGGGCTTCCCCTGCTCTTTCGCATTCGTATCCTCTTCCAGTCGCCAGCAATTGCAAGCCGAGTTGATATGCGAGAACCAGCGCTCCAATTTCGTGCTCTCCGGCCCAATGGACAAAGTAGCTCCGGTCATCTCTATGCCAATGAGCTTGATGGTATTGAGTAGTCCGGAGGTACAGCGCAATGGATAGTTCGGTTCGGGACTGAACGATTCAGTGATGGTACTTAAAACACGGAATGCCTCGCCGTATGCTGAATCTCCAGCCAGCCTTAATCCCAATCGATCTGAAGCAGACCAAGACCCAACATGTCGGCCTCCATGAACACCATCTTGATCGTCGGCGGAACCTCTGGCATCGGAGAAGCTTGTGCCAAACGCTTCCATGCAATGGGCAAGAAGGTGATTTTGACTGGACGAAGAAAGCCAAAAATGAGCGAACTGAAGCAATCCTTGAATGGCCTGGAGACTTACAGTTTCGACATGACGGACACTGCTTCCTTACTTGGCCATGTTCAGACGCTGTTCGCTACCTACCCGGACATCGACACCGTCTGGGTCAATGGCGGCTTGCAGTACATTTCCGACATCAAAGACGCCGCTTCCACGACAGACGCCAGGATCGAGGGTGAAGTCTCGCTCAACGTTACTGCTCCAATGGTCCTCGCTCATCATGTCATTCCTCGCCTGATCGAGAAGAAGACTGAAACGACGTTCATGATCACCAGCTCTGGTCTCGGCTTTGTGCCTGTTGGCAGTCTGTTCCCGGTGTACTGTGCGACCAAAGCCGCCGTGCATTCGTACTGCGTTGGCATCCGACAGGCGCTGAAGGCGACCAATGTGAGCGTCCTGGAGCTGGTTCCGCCATACGTTGGAGGCACGGAGCTGGTGCAAGACCAGGAGCATGCGGACAAGATCAAGGGCTTGAAGCCGTTGCCGATGGAGGATTTTGTGGAGGAGGTGTTCGAGGTGCTTGAGAAGAATGCGGCGAAGGATCTGAAGGAGGTTGCTGCTGGCTCGGCGGTTGGGCGAGTGGAGGCGTGGCGGTCGGGGATCGGCGGCATCCTCTCAAGCACTGGGCTGGGAGGATGATTGTGTGGCGTCGGTAAGAGGAGCTCGTAGGCTATGGCAGAACGTCCAAGACAACATGCTCTAAACCTCCGCGGCGTTCCCACTTCTTGCTTGCTGCTCCAAGTGGCAGCCTTCGCATCTGCTCCTGCAAGCCTGGGCGGGAGCTGGTGGTGGTGTATGTCGTGGTTCTTCTCGCGAAGCATCCCGATCTTATGATGTCGTCCCCTCGCCGTTGCAGAACAGGTTGAGCTGGTTGCTTGGGGCCAGAGAAATGGTCATAACGTCCTGCTGTTGCGACTGCCGCTACGGCGGCTCCTCTTCTTACCTCAAACTGCACAAACAGCATCCTCCACTGGTGATGATGCGTCCTGACTTGCTCCCTGCCGGGAAACGTTGCTGGCTGTTGAGGTGCCTCTCCCGATAATCCCCGCCGCCTCTCCCTCCCTCTCCCATCTCTGCTTCCTCATCAGCCTTCCGTCATTGAACGGTGCTGGCGTAGATCCTGTCACGCTGGCAGAAACACGTGAGTGGGAGTAGCCGTCCTTGGCGCAGGCATAAAACCAGGTCCGACTGCCAGCCGGCTTCCTCTTCCTTTCTTTCTTCTTCAGCGAGGCTTGCGAGCTTCGCGCCTGCCTGCCCCCTGCCAGCGGCTATTTTTTGGAATCCGTTGGGGTAGACTACGAGTCTACCACACTATCTTTTCATCAGTGTCGCCGGCTTCATCGCCAGCGCTTGGAGAAGAGACCGTACTGTCGTGACTGTGCTGCCGTCGTTTTGTTGTGATGTGCTGTGCTGCACTGCTGCCGTGACGTGGAAGATGCTGTCCATGGTCTCGAAGAGCCTGCCCCGTCTGCCTGTGGGCTTATCATCAATAGCCTGTGGACCCATGTAACGTACAGGGAGCATACTGTCGGCGCTGCTGGGCAATGGAGCATACCCCCGAGGTGGCGGTGGTGCTGCAGAGGCGACCGAAGCTGAACCGCAGACAGTGACCTTGCTGGTGTCCACGTCTCTCACCGAAAAATTGCTCTCAACCACCCATGGCACCCTTTCAATTCGGCTCGAAGTCCGCGAGGCGCCGCTGAATGCTTCACGTAGCGCTGTGGCTCTGGTTGATGAGGTGGCAGAAGCGCGGCGGCAACGACTCCTGACCATCGGCAAGAGAAGGCATGCATTTGCTCATTTCAGTAAGGCGATGGGGCGCCCTTCGTTCACGAAGACATACATCACTGACACTGGCAAACAGGTGCGGGTGGAGTCCATCACCAGCTGCCAACACAGCCCGCCAACTCACCGGCAACCTCGAGAGCATCCCAGACCTTGCACATGAAGGAGGACCTCCGGCGCCGACACGCTTGACAAGATGCTTGCAGAAACGTCGTGCAACCATGGAGGGCGGGCGGAAAAGACACTCCCGACGTCTGCCACGGCACCTACCTTCGAAGCGCCAGCCCACATGGAGCGGACAGCAGCGAGAACCGGACCTACTCATGAGTCTCGAAGACCGCAACGTACCACCAGGCGCGCTTGAAGGACACCGCAAGACACAAGATCCGGGGGAGAAGAATCAAGAGCGGGCGGCAAGAAGCTACACCACGGATGGGGCGTAGCAAGACCCGACCGGGGGACAGCAAGCCAGTCTGGCTAGGCGATGCAAGTTCTCCGTGTTCGTCGCGCAGCACGAACACCCTGACGAGAGGCTGGCACTAAGGCGTCGCTACAGAGAGGAAAATATGGTCACGTGACTCGCCGTGTGGCTGAGCCGGACCTTTGGGAGACTTCCAACAATCTGTGCTCTAGCCGTGGCATGAGCACCTGAGAGTGCTCTTCCCCTCAGCTTCGAGCCAGAGCAAGGCATCTTCATCCCGGTTTCATCCAGTGCCAGTACAGCGAAAAGTCCCGTGGCACTAACTTTCGAGTCCGCGGCATGTGTCCATGCCGTTCGAGTTGCCCTCAAAATACAGACCCGGGAGAGCAGACGGCGTTCTGTCCTCGAGCGAACAGTGCGCTGCGGCATCTAGTCGGCCAGATCCACCACGGCAGCACTATGGCTTATATCAGCAGCACGCAAGCGTTTTGAGCCGTCCCGTAGAGGTCCCTTGTAGAGAGTGGGCTGTCCCTCGCTCTGGCTCCATGGCCTCGTCTTCGGTTGCGGCATCTTGATGGTGGGCTATCAAAGGTCCGGTATGCAGGCGAGGCTCATAAGCACGGAGATTGCGATGATTCGATCGTTGAGCAACCAGAGGCGCGCTGGCCTTGACACTGTCGTAGAGCCATACTCTGTGCGTCGTTGCAAGCATCAAGATCGCTCGGACGCTTCATCTTACGGCTCAGCCTTATGAGCAAATGAGGCGTCGATTGTAACCAAAGATCCATCTCGACGCAACCAAACACTCCTCCAGAGCAAATATTCCTTCGGCATACGGACAGCGGCCTTGTGGTGTGCTTGCGCGGGCGACCAGCGGCGGAAGGAGGTCCAGGCTGATAGCCATATTGCTGTACATATCAACTCGTGGTCGACCAAGGCTATTCGGCATGGTGTTCCTTATCAACTCCTCTGCTCTTGACTTCGCGAAACTGCGCGCGGCCGCTTGTTCGAAAATGCTGTAGCCAATCCAGGTGGTGAGGGAGTTGGTGGTATAGGTCTAGAGCGACGAGGAAGGAGGTAGGTGAAGCTCGAGTCGAGACGATCACGGGATCACGGAAGCCGACTGCACCCAACATCTTACCGCAGTCTCATCTTCCACGCAACATCAACAACAACATGAATAAGAAGCACGAACGTGTTGATGGTTGAATTGATTACAGACACACGCGCCTCTACTGACTCGTCCCGAAGCCCTTCGGCACTGGACGCGCTTCCCTCCACTTCTGCCCCCAAACCATCAACGCGACAACCGGCCCACAAGCGGCGAAAGCCAGCACACACGCTTGCGCGATGTAGCTGTTCTGGAAGCCCGAATTTTCTACCCACGGCAGCAACCAGTAGTTGACGGTGAAGCCGAACAGCTGACGACAAAACACCATCGCTGCAGCGACATACGGAGCTTGCGGCTTGTAGCAGTCGATGCCGTACGCCATGCCGAGCGACACGAGCTGCTGGTAGCCGAAGATGGTGATGGCCATCATCGAGACTGGGCCCATCCAGTGTGTCTTGTGCTCTACGCAAATGCCGAAGCCAGCGAGTCCGAACGGCATCAAGATCAAGCCTGGGATCATGGGATGAAGCCGCATCTCGGGGATGAAGACGCCGCCATTGCGCTTGAGTCGCCATCGAATGTACTATGAAGGATTTAATATGCATTTGCAATTGTTCCCCCGCGATAACATACCAAGTCAGACACTTTGCCAGCGAACAGCTCGCCAATGGCACAGCCAACCAGAAACCCAGCATTCGACAGCCCTTGAGCACTCGGTCCCCATCCATACACGCCTCCAAACGCGAGTGGCACGATGTTCGAGATGCCGATGTCTGGTAGAGCCACGCCAACACACCACGAGAACGCTATCAGGCCAACTGATGGGTACTTGAGCATGTACAGCGGCCTGAAGAACTCCAGGAACGAAATTGGCTTCGGCGAGATGCGAGCAAAACTAGTCTGGGCAAACAACCGCTTCCGTTCTTTCGGCGTGGCGTTCTGTTCGATGGCATCGGCGTCCAGGTGCCGTACATACAATGTCTCCGGCAAGAAGCAGAACATCAGCACCAGAAAGGCGCCAGCGAAGATGACCATGACCCAAAGGCTCCATCGCCATCCAAGGTTCTCGATGACTACTCCGAGAATCATGGGACTGACGAATGGCCCACTCTGACTGGTCGCAATCCAGATGCCGTTATACAGACCTCGCTCATGCAGAAAGAAGACGTCTGCGATTGAACCAGCTCCTACAGCGATGGCTCCCGAAGCTCCAAAACCTTGCAACATCCGGGTGAACACTTGGACCCCGTAAGACTTGGCTACAGCGCATGCGATGCTCGCAACCAGGGTGATCACCATCGCGGTCAGGTAGATCGGCCGTCTGCCGTAAGTGTCACAAAGAGGCGCCCAAACGATCGGTCCTAGAGCCAGCCAGAGGACGTTGACCGAGACGAGGTAGGAGACTTTGTTGATTGAGACGTCGTATGCTTCAGCCTGGCATACCGTGCTCAGCAAGCTGGCCTGCTTTTGAGGCAGGATGAACTCACAATCTGTCCGAACCCAGGAATGATACCAGCCGCACAGAAGGCTACCATCAAACCAGAACAGCAAACGTTCAGCAACACCAAGAGCTTCCAGTACAAGGGCCAATTCTGGGAAGATCAGTCTGTGCTTCAAAAGGTCTGAAGAAGTACACGAACCAGCGGATCGTTTGGATCAGTACTGGGCGTTGGCACAAGTTCAATGCCATTGCGAGTCACATAAATGTCGCCGGTGTTCGTCCTGTGAACTACCTCATTGTGCTCAGCAAGGACGGTGGTCTTCTCTCCAGAGCCATCCTCATTTCGATGTAAGTGGACGGTGCCGGATGTTTTCGTCTCCATTGCGTCTGGCGGGTAATGACAAAGTGCGGTTGTGATCTGGCTTGAATACTCCGCCTGGGACACCAGGCTTCTTATTGAACGAGACGGAAGCTCCGGCAAGCTGTAGGTCTGGACTAATAACATTCCATTTACTCCTGTTCGGCAGATCGCGATGGCTGCTACCGAATCATGGCTACCTATTGTATACACGGCGTCTTTTCATTGCGAGTGTCGCATCTTCTTCGACGACCGCTTCCTTTGCCACACGAATGCTTCTGCAACTATGCTTGGACAACTGCGCCGCAACATTCACGAACTCCGACAATCTTTCTACCACAACTGCATACGATATGGTCACTGAGCATGTGCCGATGTTCGCTCCCATATGAGTGGATCCCTGTTATGGAGCCCCGCAGGCTCTCCACGTGAACAGCTTGGAGCTTGTTTCTGCGGCTCTAGCCTTGACCCGCCACCTCACTTTACCCTCATTGAGATCCGAGGCTGCATGCTAGTCGTGGGGGCAAGAATGCCCAGGTGCCGAACTGCCGGAGTTCAAAGGTGGTATGGGATGACAACTTCATTTTTTCGTGACATTCTAACGTGAAGCTTGAACGAAAACTTCAACCGCAGCTCAGTACTTCGAGACACCGCCACCAAGCAGGAGAACAACAGATCGGTACACCAATCAACTATCGTTCACAATGAAAGACTTCTCAGTCCTGGTTGTAGGCGCCGGCCCAGTTGGCCTTCTAACAACCCTCAGGCTCGCACAGGCAGGTATCTCTGTAACATGCGTCGAAGCACTCGATGCCATTGATGCCTCCCCCCGAGCGATGGCATACCATCCGATTGCTGTTCAGGAAATGGACCGCGCTGGTGTGCTGGACGACTGCCGAAGGATTGGCAGCTCAAACAGAGGAATCTGCTGGCGACATACTAGGACTAAGGAGATCATTGCTGAAATTGACCGGGCGCCATCCAAAGAATTTCCTTATGAGAATCTTACCATCGGCCAGCACCTGCTTGCGGGAATCATCTTGGACCACCTGAAACGATACGACAATGCGAAAGTGCTGTTCAGCACCAGGTTGACCGCTGTTGATCAATCATCCAACGACTCAGTCAACCTCACCATCGAGGACTCCACCGGTACTCAATCTCGATTGAGCGCAAGCTATTGCGTTGCGGCCGACGGCGGGCGCTCCACCATTCGCCGCCTCCTCGACATCTCCTTCGACGGCTTCACTTACGAAGAGCAGCTCGTCAGCACAAACGTGTACTTCGACTTCGCCGCGCACGGCTGGAAGGACGGTAACTTCATGGTCGATCCGGACAACTGGGCGCTCATCGGCCGGATCAATAACGAAGGGCTGTGGCGAGTGTCGTATGGTGAGAAGCCTGGCCTGAGCCACGAGGAGCTTAAGGAGAGGATGCCGATGAAGTATGCGGCCATGTTTCCCGGTGAAGGTAAAGTGACTGGAGTGGATGCATGGAAGTTGCAGCAGATGAGTCCGTACCGGTTGAACCAGCGATGCGCGAGTACGTTTAAGAAGGGACGGATCATGCTGGCAGGTGATGCTGCGCACTTGTGTAATCCGTTTGGTGGGTTGGGGTTGACTGGCGGAATCATGGATGCGGCTGCCGTGGCGGATTCTTTGATCGGGATACATCAAGGCAAGACGAGCGACGCTATTCTCGAGAAGTATGCAGAAGTGCGGCGAAAGATCTTCGTTGACACAGTCAACCCAACCAGCCAAACGAACAAGACAAGACTGCACGATCCCGAGCCGGACACTATCGGTGAAAGGGATCCGTTCTTGAGCATGCTACGAACGGCGACGAAGGAGGAGAAGCAGGTTGTCCGATCGAATGCGATATTGGCCGTGGACATGTCCGAGTACTTTGATGGAGTGCAGTCGAGCAACGGCTTGCCGAGAAGCGATGTGAAGGTGGATGACCAGCAGAGTATTGGCATCCAGGGCAATGCACCGCAGACGACTACTGTGCACTGATGGGTGCAGCTTGTGCTTTGTGGTGCAGAGTGAGTACCTCCAGGACCTCTTCCGAGTTCTGGTTCTCTGTGGCGAGCGGCAAGAAGGGGTGCCACGCTGAAGACCTTGACTGGTATCAGTGATTCACTACAGACAAATACTTCAATATACAGTATTCAGACAGGCGGTTTCGATTCCAATGACCATGCTGAACAGCTCAGTTGGTAGAGCGCCGCTCTCATAGACATTGTCTAGGCGGAGGTCAGTAGTTCGAACCTGCCTTCTGCAAATGTCTTTCTTTTGCTTCGTTCTTGCACAACATGTCGTCTGCACTACAATCTGTACTGCGTATCAGAGAGGAAATTACGGGACGGGTAGTTGTGAAGTGGACGTAATCAAGATTGATGCTGTACCATTGCTCTGTGGAAGTCTGTCCACCCAGCAAGAGTGTGGATGCTTGTCGAGTGGATGACTGGGTATTGTACCAATGACCCCATCTCCGTGTCGAGACCCAACAAGTTTCGTCCTCCTCAAGCTCCATCAGCCGCTGCTTAATCTCGATTGCTTTGAGCTCCAACATGAGCTTCGCCTTCTCCTTCTGCGCCGCAGCTCGCTTCGCCGCCTTTTCTAATTTCGCATTTTCGGCTTCCGAGTCGGAGAATGCGCGCGATGTTTCTGGAAGCTTTGGTGGGACGGAGGTACTCGGAGCTGTTCCAAGGACACTGTTTTCGAAGCCGAAAGCATCGTAGGTGTCGTCGGAAGTTCGTGGATTGTCTGTCGTCTTGAAGATCGCATCATCGCCACCGATTGCAATGCTGTTCTTGTTCGTGTCAGTCTGGTTGATGGAGGGCTGCATGGAGACGGCCTTGAGGATGGATTGCTGCTCCTTCACAGCTTGGACATTTGCTGACTTTCGCAGAGATAACACTTCTTTAGCCATGATCTCGTCCGCCGGAATAGCGCTGGTGGAGCTAAAAGTCTCTGGCCTGACGCACAGGAGGAGTTTCGGTATCAGATGCGCGCAACACCGAAAGATGCAGTTCCTCTGACTTGGGTATGATGCCGTTGGCCTACAACATATCTGTTCACTTGTCAGTGAGGTCCTTAACAGCCTGATAGAGATTGTACCTCTTGATTAATAGTAAAAAGTGAACGAGGCCGATCTACTCCCGTCAACAACGCCTGCCAGCATCATTGGCGCCCTTCTGCTCTTCCGCGTACGCTCTTCGCCGTCCAACGAGATCAGTCTACTGGGTCCTATCAGTAACGTCATAGAAGTGGTTCTTAGGAGAACCCATCTTACCTGAGCGAGTGTGACCTGCTTTCCAACACCTTCGGAGATGTTGACAATGACGCCAAAGGCTTCATGTTTGCAACTGTCCTGCGCTTTCACAGAAGTTCGCCTCGAAACATCTTGACCTCGATCTTGCCTCGCGTCCACATTTCTTGAAGGCTTTGGGAGTCTGACATGGTGCAGTCTGGGGCAGCGAGAAGTTTTCCAAATGTCATTGCATGGGACGTCTGTGTGTGATTAAAGCAGAGGATGGTGCTGTCGATGTTGACCGTTGTTTTTCCGCAGTCCGCCCGATCCATCTGTTCTATGATCCTGTCTGTCAAGACTGGGCCACCATCAAAGGTCACCATCATTTGAATGCACTCCTCCGCATCCATTCTGTAGCTCGCTGGTAGGTTGATAACAATCTCGAACCTCTTATCCGTCTTGGCTTCCAAGTACCTCAAGTTGTCGCCATCCACGCCCGCCTGCAGCGAATCCAGGTCCACGTGCTCGGCGTACGGAGCCACTCGGGCATACGGACGGATGTAGACTTCGATGTCGGTGTTGTGGTCCCGCATGTTGCTGGTATGAGGAGCCGATGGATTCTTGTGCCGGTTTAGAATGTGGTGTAGTCCAAGTGTGGAAGACCTTGTGCTGAACTTTGTGTTCCAGCTCTGTTGATGTGGTTTTGATATTGTTTGGAAGTTGATGCTAAGAGGTCAAGGTAAAACGGAAGACATAGCGGAAGTGATAAGGTATCAAGCTCAAGCCGAGGCACTGCAAGTGAGACAGAGCACCACTGAACAGACGACATCAAGTGAGAGCACCACTGAACAGACGACATCAAGTGAAGACCAATGAAAGAGCGGTCGAAGCTGCAGTGGGCAGATTTGACATGTGAAACTCGCCGTTTCGACTCGCAAGTGAAAGGCTCAGGCATACCTCCAAGAAAGACGCTTGGTGGGTGCATCTTGACACGACTCGTAATATTCAATGGCAGTGTGACGTTCCCCATTGGTAACAGACAAACTTGATAGTCCACCGTTCCTGCTGAGCGGTGTCTTGTTCTTTCATCAGGAACAAGTTGACCAGACACTGCTATTCGACCCTGTGCCGGTCACTACAACGCAGACACGCGATCTTCTACGTTGGAGCGATGAGACCGTCGATATGTCTTAGGCAATGAATAATATTGACGAGTCCACGAGCTCCGCCACCATGTCGCCGTTTGCGTGATGCTTGCTCGTTGCAGCGCCTCGGAAATAAGCAGAGCCATGGATACTACTCAACGAGCCGCCTGATACAGGAATGAGTACTGTAAATCCAGAGAAGATGAGGAGAAGAGGTGAAGTCGAGCTGGAGCAGCCAGTCAGCGGGCGGGAGTGGCCGGAGATTGGTGAGACGAAGGCCGACCAAGCTTCAGGACGACGATGAAGCCAGTCTCCATTAACCACACCTCACCTCGTGCCAACCCACCCAACCTCTCCCATATTCTTTGCTGCGTTCGAGCATTTCGACCATCCTCTCACCACGACCTTGGTAATCACGGGACAACCAGAATAGGAAGGAGCTTGGAGGCATGAAACCGGCGAGACACCATGTCCGAGAGCAATGATGGTATGGCCATACGCGCAGCAGGCACGAAGAGCGTGTCAACTAATGCTAAACAGACCACGCCATCCTCAAACTCACGCCCAACGAAAAGGCAGCCTATTCCCACCTCTTCTCCCTCGCCGACAGCGACTCCCTCGGCGTCGTAACCGGCGAGCGCGCCGTCTCCTTCTTCGAGAAGACCCATGTGCCCGCGCCAGTACTGGGCGAGATATGGCAAATTGCCGATACCGAGAACCGCGGCCTCCTCACTAAGCCAGGCTTTTGCATGGTCGTGCGCCTTATCGGCTGGTGGCAGAACGGACAGCAGCAGCCCAGTGCAGAGCTGGCCTTCAAGCCCGCTCCCATACCCAAGTTCGACGGCATAGCATTGCCGACCGCCCCGCAGCAGCAGCCGCAGAGCCCGACCGGGGGAGCTTTCCCTGCCAACGCGCTGCAACCGCAGTTATCAGGGCAGAGCGCAGGAGGTGGACCTATCCGCGTTCCAGCGCTCGATCCTGGCAAAGTGCAGCAGTATTCTGGCTTGTTTGAGAGATCAGGTGCGCAGAATGGCATTCTCGATGGCGGCACGGCGAAAAGCATATTCGAGCGAGCAGGTCTACCAAACGAAGTACTAGGAAGAATATGGATGCTTTCGGACCGCGAGCAGAGGGGCGGCTTGGACCAAACAGAGTTCATCGTGGCAATGCATTTGCTTACGAGCATGAAGACGAGGGCCATGACGAGTCTGCCGACCGCGGTACCACAAGGGCTCTGGGATGCGGCTCTGAGAAGAGGACAGCGACCTCCCAGCAGGCAGATGTCAGCTGCTGGAGCTGTGCCGAGACAATTCACTGGTGGATCTATGCAACAGAGGACACAGAGCCCGCTGGCGAGAGGGCCTGATTACTCATCCCAGGCCCTACAAGCTCAGTCGACTGGCGCACACTGGCTCGTCACGCAGCAAGAGAAGGGCCAGTTCGATCAGTTCTTCTCTCGCATCAATCCATCACCTACCGGCCTCATCAGCGGCGAGCAAGCCGTCAACTTCTTTTCCAACTCGAACCTATCGGAAGACACGCTTGCCCAGATCTGGGATCTCTCGGACATTGATAGCGATGGCCAGCTCAGCCGGGATGAGTTCGCAGTGGCGATGTATCTCATCAAACAGCAACGCCTGCCGAATGCAGCACCACTACCCGCCTTTCTGCCTCCAGCCTTGGTGCCACCGAGCATGCGAAACCAACAGCAGCAACAGCAAGCAGCTCAGACTGCTCCGCCGCCACCGCAGGTTGTTCCACCGCCACAGAAGATGTCCGCGGCAGATGACTTGTTCGGCCTCGACTCTTCGCCCACGCAGTCTCAGTCGCAGCCAGCCGCACTCCAACCTCAGTCCACAGGTGCCTCTGCCACCGCATCTCGAGATCCTTTCTCTGGCACATCAGCTCCTGGTAGTCCAGGCTCGCCAGCACGCTTCCAGCAGCCCCAGTCTACGGGCAGCATGTTCAAGCCGTTTGTACCTACTTCGGCTTTCGGCACAAGCCTGGTGCAGCAAAATACTGGAGCTTCATCCAATACATCATCGCAGCCGCAAGCATTCTCACCCTCCCAATCACAGGGTCCTTCGGCAAGCTTCATGCAGCCCCAGAACCAGCAGCGCGGACCTGGTGCTCCTATGCCTAGCAACATGGACGACCTACTTGGCGACAGCGATGCCCATGCCGAGGAGAGTAGCAGGATCACCAACGATACGACGGAGCTTGCGAACATGAGCAGTCAAATTGGCAACCTACGAAATCAGATGGAGTCGACTCAAGCGAAGAAATCGGCGACGCAAGCAGACGTCGACAAGACAAACGCGCAGAAGCGCGACCTCGAGCAGCGGTTACAGCAGTTCAGAGGGCAGTACGAGACGGAAGTCAAGGCCGTGAAGGAGTTGGAGGCTCAACTGACCTCTTCCCGGTCCGAAACGAAGAGGCTGGGGCAGGAACTTGCGATGCTCGAAGGAACGTATCAAGATCTATCGACGCAACATCAGAGTGTGAGCCAGCAGTTGCAAGCGGATCAGCAGGAGAATGCAAATTTGAAACAGCGCATGTCGCAGCTCAATGCTGAGGTCTCGCGGATGAAGCCGGAGATCGAGAAGATGAAGCTGGATGCGAGGCAGCAGAGAGGAATGGTCAGCATCAACAAGAAGCAAATGTCCACCAACGAGGCTGAGCGCGATCGACTGGTGAGTGAGAAGGCAGATCTCGAGCGGGAAGCTGCAGAAATGGCAAGAAGTCGAACGGTCAGCCCGGAGCCGGCCATGGCGAGCCAGGCTAGCAACGTGGGGAGTCCAGCTGCAAGCATGGCGTCCACGAACCCGTTCTTTAACAAAGCGAGTACTGGCCCTGCAAGCCCACCTCCGGCGGCTTCTTCTGGCCCGACTCCCAGCGCGTTCGATCAGCTGTTTGGCCCATCATCCGCCTTCGCACCGAGTGGGCAGGCAGGCAGCAGGGCAGAAACGCCACCTGCTACCTCTTTCATTGGACGATCTATGCCAGCTGCAGGTGCAACGGCCGGAAGCACCGCCTTTGGTGCTAGTGCAGCTACCGCTAGCATGGGCATGACGGACTCAGTGTCTTCCGCCGGCGAAGCTACTCCTGCTGCCACTCCTCCACCTCGCTCAGTCGACCCGACGGGAGAGGCTTTTTTAGGGACGCCAGCTCCGGATTCGGCTGAGCCTGAGAGGGTTGCTTCGCCTCCTCCGCCGCCGGAGAGTCGTCAGTTCACTCCGACCAACTTGCCACTCGGTGGTGGCGTTGTGGGACAAAGTGATCCAGATGCGGCCAGCACGCGAGTCATGCCGCCAGCTTCGAGAGCCGGAGACGCTGAGCCAGAGCGCGAAATGGTGCCTGGTGCATTCCCTAGTGAAGAAGCCCAGCCAACTGTCGACGCACAAGAGCTCTCAGGATCTACTAAACCGAGCACTCAGGCCGGAACACCTGCTCCAGGTACAACGAGTGGCAACGTCAACGACGACTTTGATGCTGCGTTCGCTGGCTTTGGCGAGAGTGACAAGGCTAAGGACGGCGCTGAAGATGAGGATCCATTCGCATCAAAGGACCAGCAGGCTCCGCCAACAAGAGGCTTCAATGACGAGTTCCCGCCTATTCAGAGCTTGGAGCTAGACAATGAAAGTGATAGCTCAAGTGATGACGACGATGAAGACAAATCCAAAGATAGAGGCTTTGGGGACGATTTTGCAGCTCCATCAACAACGCAGCAAAGCGGTCTCGACACCTCGGCTGCCACGACTTCGTCGGCGGCACCGGGCTCGTTGGCAGCGCCGGAACCAGCGAACGATGAAATCCCTACACCTGGCGAAGAGTTGCCGGACATCTCGAAGCAGACCTCACCGCCTACGTACGAGCAGAGCGACAACGTCCTCCATGGCGGGACTGGCGAAAGGAGTGGCAGCAACTCGTTTCCACGCGAGTATGGAGATCTGCTCCCATCCAGAGAAGATCCTACCAGTCCTCCACCGCCCACCACCTCGCCGCCGGTCGAGACTACGTCAGCGACGTTTTCGGACGACAGCGTAACACCGCCTGCAGGCGACTCCGCTCCACAGAGCACCGCACCAGAAGAGACAGTGTCGCGGCCACCACCAAGAGTCTCAAGCTTGCAGCAGGGTAGCTACAGCAGTGCGTCAGGACAACAACCTCTGGCTACCCCCGGCACAGATATCTTCGTGGACGCCTCTAGTCGGCCGATGAGCAGTGTTACCGATGCTGGCGTGCCAACTTCTTCGCCTCCTACTGCTCAGTCTTCGAGCAACGCCTTTGACGACTTCGATGACTTCGCCGACCTTTCGGAAACCAAAGAAGCTGACAAGAACGCTGAGTCCTTCGACTTTGGGTTCGGCGGTCGGCAGAGTGTTGACGAATTCAACCCCGCCTTCGACAGTCCTGCTCCAAGCAATGCCGCCACACCAATACCCGCGACGAGAAGTGTGCAACAGAGTCAAGACAGCGGGAACGGCTTCGCTGACTTCATGCCGAATGTCAGTCAAAGTGCGATTGGGCAGAGTGGAAGCGGTGGTGAGGGTACTGGGAGCATCCAACAGACGCCGCAAGCATCACAGCATGACTGGGATGCCATTTTCTCTGGGCTCGACAATTCGAAGGACATTGATACCTCGTTTCCCAGCAATGGCGCAGCAACGACAAACGATGATCCGTGGTCTACAGTGAACGGCAGTTCTACCACGAACAGCTCCGCGGCTGCAGCTCCGTCCAGTTCGGCTGCTACTCAACAAGTCTTCCAGCCACCGCCTGGTCCTCCGCCAGGCAAAGCTCCACTCGGTGCGGATCGAGGTGGTGCTATCACGCCGGGTACTGAGCACGATGATCCAATCTTGAAGCGGTTGACGGGCATGGGGTATGCGCGAGGGCAGGCACTCAATGCATTGGAGATGTATGATTATGATATCAATAAGGTGAGTGCACCCGCATGATTAACAGTGCGGTGCCTTTTGTACTGACGGAACGACAGGCCGTCGACCATTTAGCCGGTCAGTAAGGACCCACGCCGGTGAGCGAAGCTGGATGAGAAGCTGTGCATTTGTGGAATACCCAATCGTTTTAATGCTTCCAGGTTGTGTCGATGTGAAGAGCGTTCTCTGTAGGCAGATGTGTAGATAGGGTTTTGCATAATTGCTAATGTGTTCCGCCTCTACCATTATCTTATTCCGTGTTGTTGGCGTGCAGAACAGTCATCATTCTGCCGCTGCATATCTATTACTAAGGAAAACCATCACGATCCAGACTTCAGCTCTCGCCTTGTCGTCTCGATCAGGAAAGGGATGCGCCAGCCATCGTCGCACAACGTTTCACTGAGCTTTACGGCTCAAGGGTACCAAGATCTCCAAGACTTCAGCAACATTGGGTAGAAGAGACGGCTCTCTGCTCCATCGAACGCCCTCCCGTCCTGATCACACCCAACGCCAACTCCACCATGAGCTCCGACAACAAGATCATCTTCTACGACATTGCGTCAAACGAACCAGCCAGGACCTTCGCACCCAATCCATGGAAGAGTCGTTTTGCCCTCAACTTCAAAGGCCTCGCATACCGCACACAATGGGTTGACCTCCCAGACATCTGCTCCGTACGGCAAGAACTAGGCGTAGGCGCCAACCGCACTCTACCCAACGGCGAACCATTCCATACCCTGCCCATGATCAAGGACCATTCAACCGGTAATTTGGTGGGAGACTCCTTCGAGATCGCCCTGCACCTTGACAGAACTTATCCGGACGCCCCTCGTCTCATTCTCCCGAACACTACGGGATTGACAGCGGCGTTCAACAACCGAATCGACAGCATCTTCACACCCTACGCCATCCTCGTCGATCAGATGCCCTTTCGCGAACCGGAAGCAGCGAAAGCCGTCATGCTCAAGCGCTTCGGCGCGACGTCCTGGGACGATTTGAAGCTCAGCCCTGACGCGCGGGAAGCCACTTTCCTCGCCTTCGAGGCCGCGCTCGGCGAGCTTGCCAAAGCGTATCAGCACATGGGCGGCACGACTGATCATGTCTGGCGAGCAGGCGGGACGGACAAGGCGATGAGTCAACGTTCGGGGCGGGAGGAGGTTGGGCCGTGGTTGGATGGGGAGGGCCCGGTGTATGCGGATTTCGTTGTTGGGGCGTGGTTGAAGATGCTGGAGATGGGAATGGCAATGGAGGAGTGGGAGAGGGTTAGGGGCTGGCAGGGTGGGTTGTGGGGGAGGATTGTGGATGCTTTGGAGCCGTGGTGTGAGATCAAGTAAAGCAGATCACTGTGCCTGTGGAAATGCTTTCAGCGACAGGCGAGGTTCATACAGAGTACTACAGATGCCAGTCTGCTTCTTCTGCTTCGCTCAGTCTTGTGTACATCCTTTCCCGCAAATGCATCTTTACAACCCATGCCGGTCACTTTGCGACTCCAGCATCTTTCCTTGGACGTACACGTGCTCTAAGCAATGTCCTCCTCAAGCTCCATCAGCCTCTGCATGATCTTGTTCTCCTCTAGCATGAGCATGAGCCTCTTCTTCTCCTTCTCCTTCTGCGCCGCAGCTGGCGTTGCTGTCTTGTCCGTTGCCCCTACGTCTGCACGTGCGGAGTCGGTGGCTGCTTGCTTTGTTACTGGAGTGCCAGCCCCCGTTTCCTCCGAAGATCCGCTCAGCACGACGGCGGTGCGGCTGATCTCCGCTCCTGAGTGTGGGCCGCTGCGTCCTTCTGAGAGGATTGGGTCTGGAGCAGCCGGAGTGGTTTTCGAATCGCGCTCGAAGCAGACGTTGAAGCGTTTCGGGTTTGACGCAGGCTGAGTGGGTTTTGGGTCGCGCTCGAAGGTGACCGCGAAGCGTCTTGGGTTGGACCCAGGCTGCCTTGGCGTAGAAGGAGCTGCCCCCGCCTTGCTCTGCTTTCTTGATGGGCCAGATTCGTCTTCGGAGAGATCAGTGGTGGTCGCGCTGCGCTTGAGTGGCAAAGCGGAGCGCTGGGTGGGTTCGAGGGAGTCTCTGCGCACGGCCTGCTCAGTGGGTTGACCGCTAGGGGTATCGGATGCGTCGACAGTGACAGCGGGCGCCTGTTCATTTGGAGTGATGCCGCGCCCTATCAGGATAGCTGGCAGGCCGTTAGAGGATTATTCTTTGGCGACAGGCTTATCTTGGGCTTACCACGAGACACATAGCAGAATTTGAACGAAGCAAGTTCGACGACTGCATCATCGCCGGTGTACGGGACGAGAACTACCCCTTGCCTTGGGCCGCCACAGTGTGGATTGATATGCGTTGCGCTTCTGTGAGACTATGTCAGTACCACTCGGTGCTTGGAGGTCAGGGGATCTCACTTGAGGCCGTGAGATTTGTGCTCAAGCACCTCACTCGAAGCGAAGAGTGCGTACAAAGCTGGAGCGACGGCTTCCTCTTCCCACTTGGGGTAGCCAGTCTTGACGGTGATGGAAATGGTACCACGACTCTTCTTCTCCTCGGAGAGTCGATCGTCGTCCAGCGTAGGCGCGCCGGACTGGATCTCGCCAAAAACCATGCGGTGGTTGCGCCAGTACAACCCGTCGAAGACTCTCATGCCATCGAAGACGTGTGCAGTGGTCTCCGGCTCCAATGTCTTCAATGTCTTCTTGATGATTCTCCTGCCTCCCTCCAACTCCACACAGATCTGGGCCCATTCACCCTTTCGCAGGGCGGGACCTAAAGCACCGAAGGGCAGAAGGGTTAGCAGGTGTCTCGAAAATCATGCAAGAAAGCAAAAGGTCTCGACACGCCACATGTAGTATGATCGTGTCTCGGAGGACGCTTTGGTACGTCAATGCTTACCCGGGGGCACGATGACCACAATCGAAAATCGCTCGTCAGTGACAGCCTCCAAGTATCTGAAATTGCCACCCCCAGTCAGTTGCGTTACTATGTTGACGTCTGCGTACTCCTGATAGACGAGTTTCCCGCAGTGGCGCACGACGTGCGCGACGATGCCGGAAGACTGGTCTAGCATGATGGCTGGCTGGCTTGTGAACTGATGTTGTTGTTTTGCACGGCGCGTCCGCGTTGTAAGTGGGCGGGGAACCTTTGAGACCGCCTGCGCCTTGGCAATCACATGCTGAAACATGAAACACGAGTCCGACCCCAGAGTAAAATGATTGGTTGTTGCAGATGAGTCTTAAGCTTCGTAGAGAAATGAGCTCACATTGATCTGATCACCGGTTCTGGGACACCATCGCGCTGTTTCCAGCTCCTCCCAATTGACCAAAACGTTCTTGAGTCCAGCACCACTTCCCCAGCCTATGCTGTACCATCCTCAAGATCCATCAACCGCCGCATGATCTGTTTCTCCTCCTGCCTGAGCAACAGCCTCTTTTTCTCCTTCTCCAGCACAGCCAGCCGTGCCGCTCGATCTGACGATGGTACTTCCGACTTCACGGGCTGTGTCGAAGGAGGGTCAGTGTCATCGGCGGTAAGATCGACGACCTCGACCTTGATCTTCTTGCGTGCTGGCTCGGCGGTGATTTCAGGCTGCTCTGTCCTCATTTCGGCAGGCTTTGCTTCTGCCGGCTCGGCTTCAGCATGCTTGAAAGGAAGCTGTGGCGAAGATCCGGGCTGAGCACCGCTCGACGTGCTTTCTGATAGGTTGTCAGGGTTGTTCGATCTCGGAATCGTCGCCTGTGACGGTGCGGAATGTCTCAAAGCAGCAGCATCTTCCGACACAAGGCATTCTGGAACGGGTGAGGAGGCTGGCCTAATTTTGTCGAACCTCGCCGAAACTGAAAGGCCGTCTGCTTTTGTCGCTAGAGAAGACATATGACCTGGTGGCATAGCAGGTTCAGGCAAGCCTCGAATCTGACCATCTACTTTCCCACGGTCGAGAGAGTTGCGAGAAGTCGTAGAAGCCGAGAAGGCAACGCTGGGCGAAGGATCGCAGTATGCCAATCGTGTTTGGGGCGGCGAGTTTGACTCACGCATGATGCCGTCCTTCCCCAGTGTTTCTACTCGCCCGTTAAAGACTGACCTGTCGTCGAACATCCTTCGCCTATTATAGGATCCGTAGAAGAACTTGAAGCCTGCCACTTTGCTATTTTCGCCATCGTCCGGTGTAAAATGCGTTGCCAACGGCCATCGGCGATCTGTGCGCAGTTCAATAAGCCTGTTGAGACTGTTAGAAAAACCATGACATGCTAGAGACGTATCAATCGTACTTGAGCGAGTGCGATCTTTCCTTCAGCACCTTCGGCGAAGTAACCGTTGGAAACAGGTCTTCGTCTTCTTCAAATGGCTTGCCAAGATACAAGGTCCCTCGATAGATCATGACCTCAATCCTGCCACGATTGTTCAGCTCATCTTCTTCTTCGTCGGCCGAAAGTCGCCGATTAGTCGCAGCCGTAAGCGCTCCGAAGACCATGGCATTGAAGGTGAGGCTTGTTCCGTCGAACATGGCAAGCTTGTCGGCTGTACAAGTGTAAGGCTGGTTTGGGTGTTTTTCGCGGCCAGGCAAGCAATGCTCGATGGTTCTCCTCATCCCCTCAAAGAAGACAAGGATCCCGAAGCACTTCTCTTCATGCAGCGGAGCACTTGCTGGGATCGTGACTTGAATCTCGAACCTCTCATCGGTCACGGCCTCCAGATAGCGCGCATTCTTGTTTTCGCCCTCCGCCAGTGGTGGCAGATGAGTTGGATGCTCGTACTCGGGGTAGGGATCAAGAGCGCGCCACGGGCGTACGTAGACTTCGATGCCCGTCGTAGGGTCCAGCATGTTGGCTGGTATAGGAAAAGTGTGACGGTGTGAGTTGGCAGTATTGATGAGGTTGGCGTAGACGAGAGGAGAGGTCAAACCGTAGCCTCTGTCGTTGTCAGACTGGGACTGGTGAATGTGTTCGCTGGAGTGGGTTGAAACGCTTGGTCGTCACGATATCGGACGAGTGAAGGTATAAGCTTGTGAAGGCCAGGACGTCTGATCCAAAAATCGGAATGAGTTATGGCGAGCCGGCTGTCAGATGGTTAGCGCCCAGCTGAATTAGCAACCACAGCCTGAGTGAGAGGTGAACAATGTCTTGAGATGAAGTCTTGTCTTGCACGGATTCATTCCAGGTCATTGCCTTCGGTCATCGCCCGTATTTTCACTCTCCGAGCTGTCCCTGAAGCCGCTCTCCAACTCCCGACTCAGCCTTCTCTCAGAGTCCAGCTCACCATACCCGCCGGTCTCTCCTCTCCCAACCAGCCGGTCTCGCCATGACACCCCTCTGCCCCGCGAGTCCTGCCCTCTTGAAGAATCCTGCTCTGTCCGAGGCGAACCACCACTCAACAGCTCCCGCTCACTCCTCGCCTCTGCACCACTTCTATTGACCGCGAAGCCCACCATTCTCTCCCCCTCCTCTGCCTCGAAAAGCTCTTCATCCGCGCCTTCAGTGCTGGCACTCCCTCTCCGGCCCTCGTAGCCGACATAGTTCCCCGTCTGCGTGTCGAATCTCCACTGGAGATGCCGCGGCAGGATCCACCGTGTCAACGTATGCTGTACTCGACTTCTGAAGCCGCTCGTTCGTTCGGAGATCTGATGTAAGGGTAGATACTGGGAATATTGGGCGTGTTGATGGCGGTAGACGGGGAGGATGACGTAGACGAGTAGGCCGTAGATAGACGCTGCTATTACGGCGGGGAGGAAGACGATCTAGGAGCGATCAATATAAAGTACGATATGTGTCGAACGGTCTGAGATGCTATACCTTGAGCACATCGAAGAAGCCCATGACGGGCTATATGGGGTTGGGGTGTTGCAGGCGGAGGGAGTTGGTCGGTGGAGGCGTTACGTAGGTGTCACCACGATGCCATGTTGAAGTCGCTCTTTCACCGGAATGCTATGGCAGATGTTTGGGAGCTGTGTAGATAGGTTGATAATGTATACTGAACGTTCATCAAATGGCCGGCCGTAAGCTGCGATAGAGTGAGGTCCGACAGCCCCAGCCTCGGAGGCGTGATATAGCCGACTTGATTGGATGGAATGACAACATATAGAGACAACTCCATGGCCTGAAACTCCTAATTTAGGTGTCACTGTATGGCTATGACTACAACTACCAATCGACGTAGCGAAACACCATCTCATTGCCCACCTTGATCAAAATGCTCCTCAGCTCCACTCCCGTGGCCACCATGCTCTACAATCCTCTTCCGTTCCGTATCCTTCATCTCATTCTCACCCCTCCCACCAGGCCCATGCATCCCCAACTCCTCCATCTTCTCCACAATCCTCAACTCCCGCCCCACTCCATCACCATCCCTACGCTCTCCCTCCCTTCTCTCCCGCAGCTGCCCCTCCCCCTCCCTCATCCCCCCCTCACGGTCCTTCCTCCTCTCCAACCCCTCAATCCGCCTCCCCCTCTCCTCAATCTCCTTCTCCTTCCCCCGCAACTGATGCCGATGCAACTCGTGCAGAAAATGCATCTTCTGCTCGTGCGCCTCCTGCATGCGCTCGCGCTCTTGTACGGACGCGATGTGGCCGTTGATCGTTTGGGCGATGCAGAGGGAGAGGCCGATGAGGCCGGATATTAGGCCGAATTCTGCGCGAGCGTTAGTGGGGTGGAAGGAGATGCGGTGTGTGTAAGGGGGGATGGGGAAGGCGTACGGCCGCCGGTGGAGGGTTTGGCTGCCATTGACGGATAGGATGCTGGTCTTATAGGTCTTGTAGGTATAGGTCAACGATAGGTGGAGCAAGTAATTGACCACTGGACCGCTGATTGCCAAGGAAAGGAAAGGCTGTAGAGCAAGACGCAGTGCGGGCGGTTGATGGGAAGGCAATCGCACTTACCGTCGCCGGAGGAGCCGCCTTATTTCGATGTGATGAAAGAAAGAGCCACTCACCTGCAGCCCAGCAAAAGCACAGAAACCATCACCTTGCAAAACCGTACCGATACCCGTACCTGACTACCTCCTCCTTCCCCACCTTCTCCAAAACTTCCACTCCACTCCCTCACCCGCTTTCCTCCTATTCTTACGACTACCAACCCTCCACCAATAAATCGGCACCCCCGCCGCAATGAAGCCCAACACAATCAACGCCTGCACGGGCGTCGCAAAAACCGCCCGACTCACCAAGAACAAACTCACGCAGCAAAACACCACCGGCGTGACGATCCAGCATTTATACGGCCGCTCCAATTCCGGCTCTTTCACTCGTAGGACGATGAGCCCAACGACAGCGAGGAAGTAGAAGAGGTAGGATGCCACGCCGTAGAAGGTGGTGAGGGTGGTGAAGTCGCCGATGATGGTGTAGATGGCTGTTAATCCCGCGTTGAGGAGCATGGCGTAGATTGGGGTGTAGAAGAATCCCTGTTCGTCGGCGACGAAGGTTGTCAAACGCTTGCCGCGGGAGGAGGTTGGACGGCGGGACAGGCGCATTCGTTGGCCGCCGGATGGGGAGAGACCAATGGTGGAGAAGAGTTGTGGGATGTAGCCTTCTTTGCCGGCGCTGTAGACGAGGCGGCCGGCGGTAAAGGTTGTGGCGTTTAGGGCGCCGAAGCAGGAGCAGGCCACCGTGAGGGCGAGGAAGAGTGAGCCAAGCGGGCCAAAGACGGTCTGGCCGAAAGCGACGGCGACGGTGTTGGAGGCGTTGATGACTTCGTGCGGGAGGACGAAGACGTAGCCGAGGTTGGCGAGGAGGTATGCGCAGATGACCAGAGGAAGGGAGGTGTGTATGGTCTTGGGGAGGTCGCGGGCAGGATTGACCATCTCGCCCACCACGTAGTTGGTGTTGTCCCAGCCATCGTAGGCCCATAAGCCAGCATAGAGTGCCACGGCCCACTGGCTGCTGGAGGTCGATGTGCCTTCGAACCAGTTGGTATTCTTCCATGTGGTGGAGAGCCCGTCTTTGTTGTATGCTAGGCCTGTGACTGCGACAACAATCCCCGTAACCGTAATCGCAAGCAGTCCAAGAAATTTGAAGAACATGAAGAAGTCCGCCGCCCTCGTCCCAAGCTTCGTAGACGTACAATTGATGGCCGTCACGAATGCCAGCCCAATAAGTGCAACACCCTTGTTGATCCACGAACTCGCAGCCATGGAATCAGCGCCAATAACCGCCCTGACCGTGTACTCTCCAAATATGATCGCAATAATCGCCGCGCTTCCTGGCTTTAGAACTGTGACCGCGCACCAAGTGAAGAGGAATCCAGCCCATTCGCCGAATATCTTGCTCAGATATACCTGCGCACCTCCATTCAACGGTATTGCACCTCCTAGTTCCGCATAGCTCGCCGCTCCTGTCCATGCCAGCAGACCTGCGATAGCCCACACTACTAGCGCTGCTCCCGGCGACCCAGCATTGCTATTCACACTCGCCGGTGAAGAAAATACACCACTCCCAATGATCAAGCCCACCACTAACGAAAGGCCATTGAGGTAGGTCAAGCTCTTGTGCTTCTCCAGACTCCCCTGTCCTCCCGCTCCACCTGTGCCATTGCTCATCCCAAGCTCGAAGCCATGAGGTGTCGCCGGTGTTCCAAGCGCAGTATACCCAGCTCCGGATGCCGTCAGCGGGTAAAGGGCGCTGTTAAAGTCGAAGGCACTGGACATGGAATAGCTCCTCCTTCCCCCGAGCGCTGGCAAATTGCTTCCGCCGTCTGCATCGCCATGACCCACCGGATCATCGTCGAAGGAGAGTTTGCGACTCGAGGGTACGCCGCTGGAGGAGGACTCGAGGGATCCGCGGCCGGATGGGTCGTGTTCGTGGTTCGATGTCGAGGCTAGGGAGGCGAGTTCGAGAGAGTCGCGTGGAGGTAGTAAGGACGGCGCGTTCTGCTGTGCCATCTCGCGACCTCCGCCAAAGGAGGTCAAAGGCCGAGGGGGCATGATGTTGGAGGGTCCGAGGCGGTTGATGGTCGCGCTATTGTGATGGTCGATTGGTGGACGTCATGTTAGCAACTATGGTTGGTATTCCATATCCTCTGATACTGTCGTCTGCTTCATATGTATACAGCAAGTAAAGGTACTGGTAGACAAGCAGGAGAAAGGATGGTTAAGCGTCATCTTAAGCTTCTACCGAATCAAGCACGCGAGCTTGTGATCTGCCAAGCCTCCCATCGTCGATGTCTTTCATCTGATCGACTCGTACAGACTCCCATGGCATAAGGTCTACAAGTATACTCATTCCACATTCAACACGGTATCGTAAGCATTCCAATATTTCACACATATCTTCAACACATGCCCCTTCAAGGCTTATAATACTTCCTCCAATCATGGTCCTCCTTGAAACCCAGAACATCCCTCATCTTCTTATTACTCAACGGACCCTCCCACTCCCCCATCTCCCTCGTAATAGGCGTATCCGGCGCCACCTTCTTCAGGAACTCCTTCGTCGGCGTCGTAGTCGTAATAGTATCATTCGTCGCATTGAAAATCTGGAACCCCAACCCACTCTTCTGAATGCCCAAATCGCACATCTGGCCCAAGTCGCGCGCATCGATATACGACCACGCGTTTCGTTTCCGTGTCATAGGCTGCCCGACGTGCTTGGGGAAGTCACGCTCGTACTCGTGCGGTTCGATCACGTTGCCTATTCTGAAGACGTAGATGTCCGTGCCGAAGCGGCGGGCGAAGGTGCGGGCGGTGCGTTCGCCGCAGACTTTGCTGAGAGCGTATGAGTCCATGGGGTTGACGTCGTAGTCCTCCTCGAGCGGGAAGGAGTTGTATTCAGTATCGCCTTCGGAGAAGCAAACGGAGTAGGTGGTCTCTGAGGAGGCGGAGATGATCTTCTTCACGCCTAGCTTGCAAGCAGCCTCGATCACGTTGTAGGTTGCTGTGACATTTGAGGCGAACATTTTGTTGTCCGGCACGAGCATGTTGCGGGCGAATGCGGCGAAGTGGATGACTGCATCGGGAGGAGGCTCGGAGTAGCCTTGCTCGTAGCCTGCGAAGTCGTAGTGGGTCGTCATGGCATTGAAGACTTGACCTGAATCTGTGAGGTCAGTCTTCAGTGTGAAGACGCCGGCGCTGGGGTCCGGGAAGTCGACAAGGTCGAGGTTTAAGACCTGGTGAGCATGTCAGCCGCCACTCGCTGGAAGAAGCAGATGTTGCATACCTTGTAGCCTCTCTTGACCAGCTCAGGAATGACATATCTGCCTGCCTTTCCGCTGCCGCCAGTAAAAATGACACGCTTCCCAGCACCGCTCTGCGTCGCCATTGTTCTAGTATGTGTATTTCTGAGTGTTGTTATAGGTCTCAAGGCGGTCGGTCGATGAAGCAGAGAGCGCAAGAACATTGACCAAAGGACGATCGTCCGAGGGCGAACATTTTCGCCGATGATGGAGTGATCTACACTGAGCCGCCGGCAGATCACAGATGTTTTGTACCTTCCTAATGCGGCGACGATCTCTACGTCATCGAAACGCAGAATAAAGTTTAGCTAAGCCTTGAACAATTCACTTTCAACGGAGACACCTCCTCCTCATCATCTGACAGCAACCACGTCCACCTCCACCTTCGAATGGACCTGTTCTCTATTGGAACCCAATGACGCCGGCGGGCTTGATGCGTACGCTTCTGCCACGACACTTCTTCCAGCGAACGTCTCCCGCCGCGGTCAACGTCGGCGTTGCGAGGACAGCAGCACAGCGCAATCGACCAAGATGTGACCCACGATGTTGCATGCGTGACTGCAGATGCTTCGCGCAGGTCCACGACATCGATAAGCTGAACCGCGATGTCTACTTTATTTCGACCCCTCCCCGATACAACCTCCCGAGCGAACCCCCGAAGGGGCCAGACGAACGAACGTTACAGCTGGGCAAGACCGTGCGGACATTACACGAGAGACTACCGACGCTCCTACAGTCACCGTTGCCGTCGGACATCCTCTCACCCAATATAAGCCTGCACCTGTTCCCATCGACCCATCCGCATCTGCCCACAGTGTCCGGGCGCCTTGCATATGTGGCAGCATTGTGGACAGCGCCAGTGGCCTGGGGTCGTGTGCCGTTGGTCGGTAACGTCAAGCTGACGATCCTATCTGAGCGAATGGTGAAGAATGGTGGTTCATCTAGTCCAGTTGGTAGCAGGGACGAGAAGTTGATTGTCAAATGGAAGACGTGTGGCAAGACCAAGGCTAGAGATGGCACGGGTGGTGCATATCGAGATCAGAAGATTGGCAGCAGGGATCCAGTGGACAAGATTCGTGACTTTATTTCGGGAACCACAATTGCAAGCTCGAAGGACAACCTGAACCTGTCCGACGAGACGGACGGCGAGTTCACCGGCCTCTTCATCTTCGAGTTCGACAAAGATGGCAAGATCCTCAAACACGTCATCGAGCACACGGAAGAAGGCGGTAGATGGGACAGCATGACGCGAGTCGTCAGCGTGACCGACTGGTTGCTAGGCAATCTGAGCGGCAGGAAGAGGGAGGAGAGGCTACCTGAGCTGGCGTGGTGCGAAGAGAGGCCGACGGGCTGGAGAATACGGATTGTGGATAGGAGTCATCGGCAATGAGATGGATGGGACAATGTAAGAATAAGGCATGCATGGCAACTGGCGCATGAAAGGAGACGGCGGTCGTCTTTGCGATACCCATAGCGCACACAGGAAAGGACTGGAAGTCTTTGGTGGGTGAGAGTACATCAATGGAGTTACGGCAGTGTCCACAACAATGTATGAAACTCCGCTTATTCTCTAGACCTTCGACGACTACGAAGGGATTGCAATGCTTACATGTCAAGCATTTGTGCAGCTGGGATTGTGAGGAAGGCGCGAGTCAAGAGACTGCCTAATCGGGTTGTGCACACTGCATAAAACTTCCAGTTACAAATACACAGCAAACTTCCAATCTTAGAAGATGCGCTATCGTCTTCAATCACGCCGACGGACACGGCGCTGGGTAGAAGAGCATCGCCGGGTGTGAACGTTCATCCTGGGTTGCTTTCAAGGACTATGAGTATAACTACTAAGATCGACCTTCCAATGGCAGGACTACCCATTCTCAAACGTCGCCTCGAGCACTACTTGAACAGCCCCTCCGCCCTCATCGAACGATATCCACGACGAATACAACCGCCCTCAACCGGCACCGAACATAACAGAACCAACCCGCCGCACCCTCAATCCCATCCGCAACGATGAGCGTCCCCAAACGCTCCGTCCTGATCACAGGCTGCTCAACCGGAGGCATGGGCAGCGAACTCGCCAAAGCATTCCACAAAACCGGCTACCACGTCTACGCCACCGCCCGCAACCTCTCCAAGATGGAAGACCTCTCCGCCCTCGGCATCCAAACGCTCCAGCTCGACGTGACCTCCGACGAATCCATCCGCGCCTGCGTCAAGTCCCTCGACTCACTGGACGTCCTCATCAACAACGCCGGCGCCAATCAACTCATGCCCGTTGTCGACTTCCCCATCACCGAAGCGAAGCGCCTCTTCGACCTGAACGTCTGGTCCCAAGTCGCCATGATTCAGGCCTTTACGCCTTTACTCCTAAGGTCTTCCAACGCCATGATAGTGAACCACACCAGCAGCGCCGCGGTGACCACCATCCCGTACTCAGGAGTCTACGCCGCGTCCAAAGCCGCGTTCTCCATGATGAGCGACACCCTCCGCCTCGAACTGCAGCCGTTCAACATCAAGGTAGTGGATCTGCGCACTGCAATGGTCGCGACCAACATCTTCGAGAACCAGAAAAGCGCCACCCCAACCTCTCTCCCGTCCGGGTCCATCTACGAGCCCGCGCGCTCAGTGGTGGATAAATCGCTCCGGGGCGAGACGCTCGAGGCCGGAAGCAAACCCATGAGCGCGGAGCTCTGGGCCCAGCAGGTTGTGCGGGACTTGACGAAGACGACGCCACCGGCGATCATTTGGAGAGGCGATAACGCGTGGCTCGTTCGCTTGGCGACGGTGCTGCCGCATGGGTTGTTCGATGGTTTGATTAAGAAGATGACGGGGTTTGATCAGGCGGAGAAGATTTTGAGGGCGGCGGTCTGACTTTGGCGTTTCGCGTGGGGTGCTGGAGATGGGATTTGGCGGTTGGGACGATTTGGATAGCCCTGCGTTGCGAGGGACGCGGCTTGATTAAGCAAAAGCGATCCCGTGGACGGTCTGATGTCAGGCTATCGCGGTATGCTGTCGATGGTCCTCTGCAGCAGCGAACGGTCATAATAACACCTCAATCCATGGAATTGAAATCCATCCGTTCCCTTCCCTTCCTCCGCCGGACCGATCACATAGCAGAATGCCTGCGGCAACGGCACTGGTGCAATACCCTGCCCCGGGTAGAGCGTCGTACTCAATTCAATATGCAAACTATGCTTCCCATTCTCCTCATTCGAAACCAAATTAAGCGTCAGCATCTCACGAGTCACCTTCTCAAAAGGACCATAGATGCTTTTGAAGAACGGCCAGAGGGTCGTGGCGCCTTGCATAGTGGTGCAGTCGGGGAGGTACATGATGCAGTTGCTGCTGTAGAAGGCTTCCGGGTCGGTGGTGGAGAAGGCGTCGCGGAAGGCGGTGCTGTATTTGCTGTACCAGCGGAGGACTGCGTGTTGGTTGAAGGCTGTGGGGGCGATGGGGTGTTCGAAGGATAGGGTGGTGAGAGCCATATCTCATATACGTTGCTGACAGGATACCGGATTTGAAAGGCCCTGTGATGACTGTCGAGCTCATGGGAGGAAGATCAATTACAGAAGATGGGGCGAAGAGGATGATGTTGAACGAACTGGCGACCGAGGTACAGAGCCGACAGAGTTGGCAAAGTCGCAGGCTATTCCAGTCGCAGGTGTCGACGTAGCTACGGATTTTCGAGTCTAACACTATGTCCGGTGGAGTTGTACAAGCGAGAAAGGAAAGTCGTATGGTACAGTAGATTGGGCTATCCTCATCGATAGCACGAACTGTCTCACCCAGCCCCTCCCTTCTTCTCAACCCAAACGATCGTGCAACTCACTTGACAGCACTCAATGCCCCGGCCCCCAGCTAGGAGTATTCAACGCAATACCCATTGCAATACCACCAACAATGGCCGCGCACGGCACAGTCAACACCCAACCGATGAAGATCTTTCCAATCTGCTTCCAGTTCAGACTCTTCAAGTCCCCATTCGTGAACGCCACCCCAACCACGGCTCCGGTGAGGCATTGAGTAGTAGAGACAGGCAGACCGAGCTGTGAAGCGAACAGGACAGTGATCGCTGCACCCAACTCCATGCTGAAGCCGCGGGTGGGCGAGTGCTTGGTGATGCGGTTGCCGAGGTTGCGCATGATGTGGAAACTGTTGAGCAGGTCAGTATGCTGTTTGTCATGGAAAAGGTAGATGGAGAGACGTACCCGAATGTCCAGAACCCAACACCCAACCCAAGCCCACCCACAGCCTTGATCCACGTCGGCGTGTCCGTCTCCTCGAGCACCTGGCCCGTCTTCCAGGTGAAGTACTCCGTCGTGAATGGTCCAATGGCATTCGAAACGTCGTTGGCGCCGTGCGAAACACTCATGATCATGGCGCTCAGGATCTGAGCCGTGGTCCAGAGATGCTCGACCTTGTTATCGTAGTGCGGTGCCCGGTCGTGGACGGCGTCGAGGCCTTTGTTCTGATGTCCGATGACATCTCTTGTGATGCCATGGAAGAGCACGAAGCGGATAGTAGCGAAGATACGCTTGGGGTGAAACCATGGGAGCTTATCGATTGCTGCGAGATCGTTCTGGCGGGCACCTTGGACCTCCTCGTCCACTTTCTTGATGCCATCTGCGTTTTCTTGTTCGTGAGCTGTTCCGGAAGACTGGTCATCCGCCGGGTGTGCTTCACCAGATGCCTGCTTCTTCTCCTCATTGATGCTGTTGGCGGAGCTATCCTCCCCTTTGTACTCGGAGCTGTAGTAGTTCGGTACCACACGGGACTCTGGGTCACCGGGGTAGTAGAGAGTGTAGTTGTCCTTCCAGAGCAGTGGACCCATGGGGATGTGCCAGACGCGAAGGCGGCGGTCTTCCTTAACGAGCCTGTACCGCTTGTGTTAGCCATCCGCCCATACTTAAAGAGCGTAAGCATCGCACTTACTTGGCATGGTAGTAAGGAAGGAAGAAAATTGAAGTCAGGGCCCAAATGCCGAAGAACACTCCAAGTACAATGCCGACGGCCTGGCCGGCCCCCATCTCCTCAGGCGTAGGGATGCCATGGCCACCGCTGATGGTGATGAACAACGTCAGGATACCGGCGGTGAGAGCGTAGTAGAAGGTGATGACCCTCAGACCCCATTTCAGAGGATCCTGCCTAGAGTGCACGAGCACCTTGATGCTCATCATGATGATGGCACCAAAGCATGCTGCAATACAAGGAGCAATACCCCAGGACGCCGCGATCTGCGACACAGAGCCTGGCGACCACCCCCAGTTGACGTGAACATCGGCAGCAATACCGACACCGACAAGCGCGCCGACAAGAGACTGAGTGGTCGAGACTGGGAAGCCTAATCGGGTGCAGACGGTTTGCCAGGTCGCAGAGCCTGCAAGAAATGGTCAGTGAACGTGTTGCAGTTATTACTTGTCATCATTGTTGTATACCGAGCTCAGCGCACACCATCGCAAGCAACAGAACGTCAGGGGTGTCGGGGTTCTCGAAGTTGTCGATAGCAAACACGCCATTGCGGATCGTGTCGGTGACCTGCTGGCCGAGGGAGATGGCACCGACAAATTCCGTGATGACCGCGAGACAACCAGCTTGCGGTAAAGTCAGGGATCGTGAGGAGACCGAAGTCGCGTATGAATTGGCCACATCGTTGGCACCGAGCGACCAGATGGAAGCGCAGAAGAAGATGACTCCCAGGGCGAAGAGCCAGTCCAGGTGGTGTAACGTGCCGGCCATGGCGGGCGTAGTAGAAGGAACGTATGCCTCAGACCGAGCAGGAGAAATTGGAACCAAAAGCTGACCCAGGTGAAGCGCTGCAAGATGGTCAGAACTGGAAGAAGGTACTGCCAGAGGAATCGTACCGTCTTATCATCACTTCTCCTCCCTCCCTCGCCATCGGGTCCCCCGATACACCTGTGCAATTCCCTTGCCCATCCTGCCATGTCCATCGCCCCAACATGATGCCGCTGTCTCCGGTCTTTTCGAGATAGGAACGATTTAGACGAGAGACGAAAGAAACACCAAGAGTCGTAAGAGAGAAAGCAAACAATGAGAGAGTGAGATACACCCACGTGCTTGGGAACGTCGTTAGATCCCTCCCCACCTACCCTTGCGGAAGTGCGGAGCCAGCCTGCTACTGGTGGTCGAAGGTGAAGAAGATCTCCAGCCGTCGTCTTGGCCTGCTTGGCCTGACATCGAAGGCGCTCTGCAAGATCCTCCAAGAAGCCCCGAAGCCGTCCAAGCCGTCTTGGCCATGCTTCGTGCCCGCCTTGGTGGGATCATTTCGGCCATGTGAAATTTTCAAAGACGCGACACGTGCTGCAGTCGTGAGAAATGCATGGCGAGGAGAGATGTGGGAAGCAGAGTTGGACTTGCCACGCGAGCGAGGCCGAAGTCAAAGACCAGACTGCCAAGCCCTCGTTTATCATCCCGTCTTCCCTCCGCGGCGGCGGCAGAGTGTCCAATCTTCAGCCGCGCGAACACCAAGTGCAGTGTGGTAGGGCTGACAGTAGGAGGTAGACTCCTCGTCGGCGACGAGTGCCAGTCCGATGACCCAGGATCGTGTACTTCACTGCTTCTCTTGCTCGTGAAAGACTCTGCTCTGATGCCGGGTGTGCAGGCCTCCCCTATTCTCCGGTCGTGGCACCGGTGAGATGGAGGTGGGAGCAAGATCTTGAGCAGCGACAAACGCCGGCCGAGCAAAACATACCGACCTCAAAGAGCTCGTACGATGCAACGCAGCGAGGCGGACCAGATGTTATATCTACATTTCATCACCAAACAACGTTGCATGGCGCCCAGAGAGAGCGGCGCCTTGGGATGCTTGGATGCTTCGAAGGCTGGGCAGCTGAAGGTTGACTCGAATGCTTCACGCCACGAGCGAACACGTAGCACCGGCAAGAGGCATATCGTGTCGCCCCCTGACAGTAAAGCAGAGCATCCACCGCCTCGACTTCTCTCGTTAACATGTCTGTTACCCTCGAAGAATCCCTGGCAACCAACATCAACGTCCCCATCGACCCGGTCTTCGTCTCACAAGCGCTGTCGCGTGACCCGTGGAAGCAGGTCGACCATGTTCCCAACTGTCGAGACATCGCCGTAGAAGGCATGCGGAAGAACTATGTCTTCCGCTCTGACACCCTCGAATTCACCTCTGAGCAGGGAAAGCAGGACCTCGCTGCCATCGGAGTCAAAACCATCTTCGACTTGCGCTCCACGGCAGAGATCGAGGCCAATTCAAATCCACGGATTAAGGGTACTAGAGTCCAAGAAGTTGCATTGACGGCGGCTACTACGCCCGCTGGTGCCCCCAAGTTCACTGCAGTAGGTGGATTCTTCAACAAAAGCAAGACATCTTGAGGTTGATGTCCATTCAGCTGCCCGAAGTGTACATGGACATGCTCACCTCGCACAAAGCCACCTGGACCGCAATTCTCAAGCACATTGGGGATGACAGTGGTGCCTGCCTGATGCACTGCACAGGCGGCAAAGACCGCACTGGTGTAGCTGCGGCTCTGATCTTGAGCCTCGTGGTTGCCTCTCATGAAGACATTGCAGACGAGTACGCGCCCAGCAGACTGGGCATTGAGCCAGCTCGCGAAGCACTGACTGCGAAGATTACTTCGCTTCTAGAGGTCCCATCCTGCTGGGACGCGAGCTGCCTCTTGGTCACGCACTTGCTCCTAACCTCCGTAAGACTCGTCCAGCAATCCGTTCATGTAATCCTCTGTCAAGGATGTCCGGGCCGGCTGCCACTCCTAACTATATTCTTGCTTGGCCTGTGTCCCCGCTCGTCCCGTCTTTTGCTATGCGGCGGGCAATTTTCTATCACATTGGGCGAGTCGACATGCGTCTAGACGTAACAAGACGGGGAAGGCCTCGCTTGAGCCCATACTCTGGACGCATCGGCGCACAGGACCTGTGGGGACTTGGATGGCACCGACTGGGCGGGTCATCCTTCCGCCCAAGCCGCAACCGTTTTCCCTGTTCTGTGCCGGGCTGGTCTTCTGTGACAGGGCGGACTCTGTTAATCATTGAACATCCCTGCGGATCTGATCGGTCACATCACGATGCACCAGCTTGCCGAGCATGTGTCACAGGATCGGACTCAACTCGTCACACATGTCCGCCAGCAGCAGGGCTGGACACCACTGGTACCGCACGACCGAACCTCTCGTGTATTGCATGCGGGAGGATTTGAGGCGGACTCTGGCGAAGAGTGCCGTTCTGCTGCCACCGGGCTCTCTTTCGCTCTCTGCGCTCTGGACATATGCCAGCTCCGAATGTGAGGATTGAACACTAATAAGCCTTTAAGGAAACGAACTATGGGCGCAGCATTACAATGGGCAGCAAGCCGCTGGTAGGCGACAACGCTACGATGACCAGATTAACGCCACAATACTGCCACTCGAAGAACTCGGCCGCAGTGCATTCCGACTTCTCAGCCCTTCCTGGCCGCAATCCTACCTGAAGACGCGTCTCGTTGCTCCTGTCCTCGGACAGCCTGCCAAAGGAACAACGAGGAGGCGAAAGTAAAAGCGGCACAATCACCTTCGCGGCAAGACATAAGGAGGGGCCGCTCCGAGCGCCGCCCAATTGAGTGGACGGAGGGACATTCAGGCGCAGAGAAACGGGAGTGACTGGTTGTGGTTGTAGCAATCTAGATATTGGCTGTCTGCTTTAGGCTCAGTGCTTCTGCGAAAGTCTGGGATCGACAGTTCCGTACCTCAATCATGCAGTACCCCATTACAGCACCACGTGTCGCCCCAAGACCGCTCTGGAGGGCCACTGGCGTGCCGCAGCCTAGACCAGAGATTCTCCACGAGGATCGCGAGGTCTGCGGGCATCTCTTCCCGTGCGACCGCATAATGATCGAAGTCAAAGTCAACACCAGCCAGTAAAGCAGCGCCGCGACGAGTGAGAGGTCGGTTTTCGATAAGAATATGCGGTAGAGGACGCGGCATCAAGAGCCTAGACTAAGGCTTGAAGTTGCCAACCAGGTGGACGGCGTAAATCTAGATTGGCTCGGATGCACGGTGAATCAGCCGCTAGCTCGCAGATCTCCCGTCTAGTAGTGTAAGAACGCCTGCTTTGAGTTTGAGTGATTTGACGTACTCGGGACCTTGTAGGCAAAGACACATTGTCCGCTTGTGTGTAGATTTCTAGTGGTCTAGAACTTCACTCACGTACATGTCGTCCAACAAAGACATGGTAAAAGTGGTAAGTACGCGATCACCTGTGGAGCGGAGAAGGTAGGCCTAGACTACCACGTACAGCCTTAGAATCTACCTTTCTGCATATATATACTTCCCCTTCCGTTGCCTTTTACTAGCCTCGATAGGTCTTTGCTTACATCCTCTGGCTACTCTACGAAAGTCTCTCGTGTGCCATAGAGCCATCGTTCTAGGACCCGTTCCTACTCTGCCAACATGCGTTCCTCCGTTTTGTGCGTGCTCTTAGCATGCCTGAGCGTATCCCAAGCAGAACCGATACCAGCTTTGCCCCATCTTGTTGCTCGGACCAAAAAGACGACCGCCGCCGGGGCAACGACGACTGTTACACAGACTAGCATGGTCACTGGTGCAGTGAGCACGACGACTACGACTCTTACAGCAACGACGACTCAGCCTGCGAGGACTATCACGCAAACCCTGCCGGCGGAGACGCAGACAGAAACCGAGACCCGGACCGAGACTCTGCCAGCTGTGACACAGA